CTTATTTGACAGCTGAGACCAGCTCATTTGTGTCATTTTTGCTTTAAAAAATTATTTAAATATTCATTCATTCTCTGTAATAGCTTATCCTGCTACACGGTTTAAAAGCCTGAATGGCTTAGCTCCATCCTATCTATCTGAGCTTATTCAGCTTCACACGACAGCCAGAGCACTGAGATCAAGCAACCAGCTGCTGCTGGCCTGTCCCAGAACTAAACTTAAAAGCAAAGGTGACAGAGCCTTTTCCGCTGTGGCGCCAAATTTATGGAATACTTTACCATTCCATATAAGGGCAGCCCAAACATTGGAACACTTTAAATCTCTTTTAAAAACCTACTTCTTTTCACTTGCTTTCACCTCTAGTTGAGACAGACATGTCTTTTACAGCTTTTATTTGTATTTTACCTGTACTGTTTATGTTTTATTGTCTAAACCTATTGTTGATCTTATTGATAATTTTTGTGGTTTTTGCTATTCATTCATTCTTTGGATGAACTGTACAGCACTTTGGTCAACTGAGGTTGTTTTTAAATGTGCTGTATAAATAAATTTTGACTTGACTTGACTTGACTTGACTTGACGGTCATGGGGGTCAGGGGGTGGGGGGGGTGGCTGGAGTCTATCCCAGCTGACACTTGGAAAGAATCAGGGTACACCCTGGACAGGTCACCAGACTATCACAGGGCTTACATAAGAAGCAGACAGGCATTCACACTCACATTCACACCTACAGACAATTTAGAGTCCAATAACCTGCGTGTGTTTAGACTGTGGGAGGAAGCCAAAGACCCCAGAGAAAACCCAAGCTGACACAGGGACAACATACAGACTCCACACAGAAGGGCCTCCGCTGGCTGGCGGACTCAAACCTAGAACCGTCTTGCGGTCATCTCTTAAATATTGTGACTGTATGAGTACATGGGCCATTGCTTTCTGCATGAAAAGACAGCTTGCACATCCTCCACTGTTCAGCAGTTAAAAAATAACAATATTAGTCAACAGCTCTGGAACAGTCAGCTAAAGTTTTAGGCCTAGTTCCAGTTTGAGAGTTACTGTGATCCATTTATTAAAATCTGGCACCTTTAAAGTCCTCTTGCAGTGACAAAGGAACCTACTTAATGTGTGTAAATAGGGGTAGGAAGATACTTCAGTCAAGATACAATATTATTGCAATTCTAAATATGTTGCAATATGCTGAGTATTGCAATAAGAAATATTGCAATATATATTACCCTTTTCAACTGTAAATTGTGTAAAAATCTGTTTTATCTAATAAGATAAAGTTTTCAGTCTGTTCATCTCACTTCAGCCATTTTTTGTAGCAGCAAATTGTATTTAGTGGACTGAAAAATGTAGTAGGCTAACTAAAGTTTAATTTGTATTTATCATATAAATAATTTATATGATTTAAAAAATCAATACTCGGCACCAAATGAAAACAACCCCCATAAATAACTGCAACGTCCACAAGTTTAGTCCAACTCCGAAAAATCCTCCTTATAGAGTCTGCATAGTCCAACCAAAATGTCCAAAAACCAAAAATGGAATATATGTCCTTCCTTCAAAATGCAAAAAATATAAATTGAAACAGCAACACACTGCAAATACCCCTCAAAAGAGTCAAACTCACCACACACAGGACTGAGAATAAGTAGTCTGGCCTAGAGTTGCTCTGCAGTCCTGTGCTCAGTTGTTATGGTCCTCACATCTCACAGAATTCCTTGGATAAGATACCACCATAAAAAAATTGAGTGTCCTCTTCCATCTCCCTCTAAGCTGCCAGGATCTTTCATAACTCCTCTGTCTACCTCCAAAAGCCCTTCTTTCCACCCCAAACATTTCTCTGTCCTTTGTGCTCCAGGCCACGCCCCCTCACACCTGTGATCCAACAGACCACCTGACCACTGTTAGCTACAGGAAGCTACACAAGTAAAAGCATGGGTGACAATGATACAAACGAGGAAGGGTTTAGTTTTTAACAATTCAGTTACATATAAATACTTTTCCGCTGACCCTGTTGGCGGCGTCACAGCTCTATAAAACCCTTTCAGATGAACTTTGGTCATTTTCTCATGGTTATTGTGTGTTAAAATCGGGGCTGAGTGATGTTTTTCTGCTGTGACTGTTCTCCTTTACAGTATGAGGATGTGTTGATTGTTATTGTCAACTCCAAGGAAAATCGAGGACAAATCAGCCTTCAGTGTGACAGGAAAAAGCTGCATGATTATGTTTGTACAACGTCCTCATTTGCATAAACCTGAAAACCTTATGGACTCACTCACCCTGCTGTAGGAACGTATGTGCTGTATGAAATCCTCCTCCTCACTGTCCTCAGATGCTCCGTGTTGAAGCACAGAGGGAGGAGAGGAGAGGAGAGGAGAGGGGAGCGAGAGCGGGCCGTCCTGATGAACAGGGAATTATGAAGGTCATGGAACGTGATTACAGAAATAGGACCCGGCAAGTTCAAGTTATCCCAACTGGTCCTTGCTTCCTGGAAAGAACCTGATTATCTCTTGGGATGCTTTAACAGCGTACCCTGTTTTGTTTAGCTCTTGCATCTGAAGCTGTGAATCTCATGGCAGCAGTGTTCATTTGCAGAGACAGGGTTTACACCAGTTAGAGTTTATACCAGTTTCATTTTTGACAATTATTAACAGTTTTTAAATGAAAAGGTTGAATGTTTTAAAGGTTCCTGTTTGACAACATAGCAAAAGTGGATTATGGATAAGCAGCATAGTTAGGCATGGATGAATTACTAAACGGGCCTACCGAGAACAAGCCCAGGGGCTCAGAGTTTCATGTCACTCAAATTAAAACACACCGACCAAAGAGAGATTAAAAACAACCACAAAGAGACACTAAAAGACCACACAGAGATGCAAACTGCAGAGAAACATGAAATGACCACAAAGACACACCAATCGACTTCAGAGAGACACAACATGACTTGAAAAGTCAAAAACTTCAGACATAAACAACTACAAGAGACATAAAACGACCTCATGGTGACACAAAACAACCTCAAGAGACACAAAATGACCATACAAACAAACACAAACTGACCTCAAAGAGACACAAACCAATTACAAAGAGACAAAACAAACACAAGGAGAAACAGAATGTCAATGAAGAGAAACAAATAGATGACAAAGAGACACAAAACAACCATATGGAAAGAAGGAATGACTACAAATAGAAGCACAATGTCTGTAAAGAACAAAAAAATTACCTCAGAGACATAAACAACTACAAAGAGACAAACAACAACCACAAAGAGATGCATAAAGACTCTAAGGTGACACAAAACAACTACCAAGAGACACTAAAAAAATTACTTTAGAGACATAAACAACCACAAAGAGACAAAACGAACACACAAAGAGACACCGATCAACCACAAGGAGATAAAGAATGTCTACAGGGACAAATCGACTACAAAGAGACACAAAACCACAGGGAAAAAAGTATGACTACAAAAAAGAAGAAAAAGTCTTCAAAGGACAATGAATTACCTCATAGACATAAACAATGACAAAGAGACATAAAACAACCACAATGAAACACAGAATGACCAAAAAGACACATAATTACCTCAAAGAAAGACAGACTGACCTCAAACAGACAAAAAACAACCACAAAGAAAGACAAAAAATACTTCAGAGACACGAAAGACTACAAAGAGACAAAACAAACACAAAGAGACACAAATTGACTACAAAGAGACACAAAATCACAGGAAAAAAGTTTGACTACAAAAAGAAGAAAAAGTCTTCAAAGGACAAAAAACATAAAAAAACACAAAGAGACACATAACTACAAGGCGACACAAAACAACCACAGTGAAACACCCAAAGACAAACTAACCTCAAAGAGACACAGAATGGCCTCAGATAGATGAAAAACAACCATAAAGAGAGACAAATCGACTACAGATACAAAACAAACAAAAGAGGCAAATAACATCTACTATGAGACAAAACATGACTAAAAAAGACACAAAATTACCTCAAAGAGTGAAGACAAAGAGGCACAAAATGATGCATAACAACTACAAGGAGATGCAAAACAAAACAGATGCTAAACCACTAAAAAGTCTGTGTGACTTTTTCCTATGGGGGATATTTGTATGTCTGTGCCCAGGGGCCCAGTGTCTGATAATCTGCCCATGTCGCCAGGCACTGTAGGTTTAAGTGACAGGGGTTAATGTACCAGAGGAGCAGGTTTAACAGAAGAATTTTGAATTTTATGCTGCATTGTTCATTTCTATAGTTTAATGTTTGACCCTTTATGGGAGAAAACAAGACATTTAAAAATATCACCTTTGGTTTTAGGAAGTTGTGATGAGCATTTTTTACCATTTTCTGACATTTTAAACCAGTAATCAAAAAGATTACATTGCACTACACAAGCGCATGTTTTGCATGTATGTATGGCTGCAGCTTACAATATCATTACTCAATAAATTTCATTCTTGATTAATCTGCAGATCATTTTCTCTAACTGTATAAAATGTGACATTTTGTGAAAAACATGGACCACATTTTGATAAAAACATCCGGTCAAAATCCCCAAAATACTTACTGAATTTAATAAATAATGAAAAAAAAAATAGTGAAATTGATTTTCTGTCAGTCAACTACTTGATTAATCAACTCTAGATACAAGGTTTAGCATTGTGCGTTTTTTTATTTTGAATATGCTGTGTTGGTTTGTTTATGCAGATCTCACATATGTAAATCCAGAGCGTCTACCCGGAATAGTTTACTCAGTTCAGCAAGTTGTAGTTGTTTGTTCAGTTGTTTTCCTGTCTTCCTGGTTGTAAAGCCGACATAACTGATAGTCTAGACTTCACCCTTGCATCCAGATGCTTCCCATTATCACTGATTTCCTTGCTAGTAACTGTCTCCTGGGGAGTGACGCCAGCTGCAGCACGCTGGGGTGTTGTGATCAGCAGGGGAGTGTGAGTGGATCAATGTACTGTCATGTAGGGTCATAATCACCGAGCTGTGTTCCAGCTGAGAGGTCGTGGAGTCTGCCAGGAGGGCCTGATGTGCTCAGTGAATGAGGCACCTGCAGTCTGATGGAGACAAACAAAAGGATCGTCACGAGCAGCTTGTTGCAGGATGGTGTTTTTGCAGCGCTGTTTCTTGGCTTCAGTCTGACGTGAAATCTCGCTAGTTAGACCTTTCTCACTCCGTTAATAGCTCTGTGATATTCATAAGTCACTGTGTGGTCCCACTTTGTTTTCACCATGCGGAGAGGTATCAGAGTCAGATAAAGTGCTCTGAGCTAATTAATGAAAAAGCATCCCCTGGTGGGAGAATGGATGAGGACTGAAATTACCTTTTATGTGTGTGGATCTCAGTGGTTGTGATTTGGGGTATAATTTTTCTGGATAGATTCTTAAAGTGTAGGTATTTAAATCAATAAGAGTTTGCACATTAATCTAAAAGTGAGCATGTTACTGTAACTGTTTGAAAGTGCATGTTTGAGTTTTGATTTTTCCCAAAAGTGAAAGTATTTTCTCTACCTGCAGAGGAATGTGACATACTTATAGATAGCAGTTTCAATATTATAATGGGCAAAACATTGCTGTCCAGTGAAAGTCATGCAGTTGATTTTTAACTTTTCAAATATACTGAAGAATTTAAGGTTTCATAACAGGCTGAGAAAAAGTCTTTAATTAAGATTTAGGATGGGAATTGAAAACCAGTTTCACTTGAGAAAAACTTCCAAGTTGTCCGATCCATCGTAATCGTACGCTTCCGAGCTTATCAATTCCTTTTATCAGTACCGGCATGTTTCTGACAGTTGATGATGTCAGTCCCAGCATCTACACTGCTGTTAATTTGCAACAAGACGAGAGTCATGGAGTCATGGTGGAGAGGAAGAAACGGTCTAAAGCAGGGGTAGGAAACCTGCGGCTCAGGAGCCACATGTGGCTCTTTATTTTTTATTTTTAACTTGGGCTGTCAAGCAATAAAAAAAAATTAGCTAATTAATTACATGCTCTGTGATTAATTAATCTAAATTAATCACGTACATCAATTTTTGCTGTGAGAGTATTTAAAAAATTCAATTCAAATGAATTTTGGCAGATGTGTTGTAGTAAAGCTGCTGGATATGCTGCTGGACACAATTGTCCCCCTGTCCTCTACCACCGAAACCAACCAGTTGTAATCCATTTTGCAAGGGAGTTAGTCAGTCGGTCACACGTAGAAGAACGCCTGGTCGAGTGTGGCTCGACAAGGCTGGCTGCTAGCGTTAGCATCAGAGGCTGTGCTAGCTCGAACCTCCGGGTTCACTGCTAAATGCTTTGCGTTGAGGTGATATTTCAGGTTTGAAGTTCGCAGATGGTACGAAAATTCTTGACTGCAGAAATTTTAGAGAATGGTGCTCCTATCAAAAGTTCCATCTGGGCATTTTTTCATTGTAAATGTTCACGGGGCCGAGCAGCGTTGTCTCGTCTGCCTTCATCATGTGGCAAAGCCACTGTGGCCTGCAATGATGCACCGGGTCAAAGGGCACCACAGAACGTGATTAATGAGCGTTAAGCTCTGTAGCTCTGAAGTGATTCTTACATTTTCCAGTTGTATAAATGTGTAGCCTACACACAGAATAAAAAAAAATGTTTTAACATCTCGTCAACTATGTGCGTCATGCGTATATACAGCTTGAAGACTTTTCCTAAAATTTGCCAAATCTCAATAACAATGGTCTCAAAGACAATGGTCTTGAGTCTCCTTAGTGAGGCTAGCTATTGATTCCAAATCCAAAAAAGGAAATGTCTCGGAGGAAAACAGAGAATTTCATTGTGAGTGGAGAGATTTGTTTGCTTTCACCACTAATGCTGCAAAGTTTATGTACCAGATAATCATAAAAAGCCCACTGCAGAGAGCTACTTTGATGTAAAACAAAACAATGAATGCTCATTCAGACCTATTAGGAATGTTTATAGGTTAATGTAGATTAAATCACTCCAAGGCACAAATATGTATTGGTTAGTGTTAGGGTTAGGGTTAGACAGATCAGGCTCCAGACAGATTTTTTTGGTAGTAAAGGCTGCTTGTAATATTTGTAAAATGATCCTTTCAAGTAAGGTGGAAACACCTGTGTTCTTTGCAACACGGGCTAAAATTCAAGGAATGTGCCACTGCATCCCAACCAAGCAGCACGTCCGTTACTGAGGGCAAATATCCTGTTATAATAACGTCACACAGGCAGACTTTGCAATTTTTTTCTTTGACTAAGAAAACCAGAACGAAAACTAACCCTGTACAAATATTCTCTCATTTCTTTTACACAGTGTTCAGACTCAGTGAGATAATACAACAGCTGCATTGATGCTGAAAAACTGTGGACAGTGGGCCTACTTTTTTCCCGCACGGAAAATTGATCAGAATCAATGAGGGAAACAATAAAGAATCAGGGTCAATAAGCAGAATCAATAGGGACATTGTTATTCATGAAATCTTACAAATTCCCATCCCTATTTAAGATCTCCTCCAGATCTTTTTATGACACAAGAATACTGAATAATAATTTATGTCCTATATGGTTTTTCCACAAAAAGATCTACTTCTTCTTAGTCATAGAAAAATCCAGAATCTATTAATATGCAAATACTTCTCATTTTATAAGTGTAACTGCGAGACACAAGCACAATATAAGTCTGTTGTAAGTATATGTGCTCCACATCACATCTGTGTTAGATGCACCCCGGCCCATGATCACAAATCATACTTACATGTCTTTAACGTGAGATTTAAGGTGAGCTCAGAGAAACGTCCCCCTCAGCAGATACAAAATCTCATACTGCACGTACATCAGTCTGCACAGTGAAGCTCAAACATCCAGGTGAAGTAACAAAAAGCAAAACATATTTTTCAGTGGGTAAACCATTTGAAAACCAATTGGATTATCTGAGCAGTATATCCTCACACAGATGAAAACAGGCCTGTTTTTCTTAGCTCATGAGATGTTGACATTTTGGAGGCACATGCAGTGACTAAGGTTGGTTACAGGACGTCCACTGGGCAGTGACAACACATGTCTCCAAGTGAAACAGTATCTGTGTGGTTTTTAGGCAGCGTGTTGATGGGCAGCGTGTTCACAGTGGGCGCTTGCCCTCTCCTCTGAACGGGGCTGGTCCTCTGCCTGGGACTCTGTGTGGCGATTGGAGATTCCAGGCCGGGCCCCGGAGCCTCCCCCCTCTGACACACTTTCAGCGCTGCACCACCAGCATGACTTTCATTGCTCTCCAAGGGCGGGTGGTGCACCTTCAGGAAAAAACAAACAAATATGGAGGCCGTAGGAGTGCAAGTGTGCAGACTCTGCTCATTTGACAGTTTGTGAGTATGGCGCCTGAGCATGCCGGCATGTGTGAAGGCAGGATTTTGGAGTTTGTTGTTGTGTGTGTACAACGCTAGGCCTGTGTGTACACATGAAGGACAGTGTGTACAGGGCTGTGTGTGGAAAGTATACCATCAGAGCTGTAGCAGATTTCTCCCTGTGCAGGGTGTTTAACAGTTTAATCTTAAACTAGTTCTGGTTAATAATCAGCATAATAATTAGTTTGTCAAACAAGCTGAGGCATGAAAGCACTTTATTAGTTTGAGCAGAAGTGAGCAGCTATAAAGATTTTCACAAATAACACTCACCTTTTTAAACAGATAATCACAAAAGGAGTTTAGATGTTTGTTACAGTAAAAAAAATCTGAATGTAATGCCATTAGTTTATAGATGAGGTTGTTGTTATACCATTAGTGTCCATTAGGCAGAGCTATTAGCTCCTGTTAATTACCAGCAGTAATATTATGCTGCAGTGTGTCTGCTCTGCACATTATTTTCCTTTTACAGCTCAGTGTTGTGACTGATCAGACCATCATTGCCGCTTTCCCTCTCTTCTCTCTGGGTGCAACTTAATTTCCCTGTTTCCTGTGTGTCATTAAACCTGCATCAAAGCCTCAGCTCTGACTGTTTGACTAATAATGGAGTGATGGAGCAGCGTCGTGCAGAATCAGAGGAATCATGAGTTGGGTGGGTGGGGCTCTTCAGCACTGTACAGCCATTGTGTTTTTTTTTTCTTTGAGATACACACAAACATGAGAGGAGGTGTGTGTGCACACACACAAGAGTGAAAAAGTTAAAAAGGACAAAAGAGCTTTTTATGTGTTTCAGTGGTCCGTTCGGCAAAAAGCCACCAAACAGTGGAAAGGAAGAAACACAGAGAGAGAAAGAGAGAGGAGCTTTGCTTTGGAGGAAGGCTTCTGGTCATTCATGCACACACTCACACACACAAACACACATAAATCAAACTGATAATCAGGAATGTATTAAAGAAAATCATGAGGTGCTACAACTCCTAATAGATCTCTGCTATTAAACCCTCCTCCTCTAATCGGAAACATCATGAGATTAACTTCCTGTAATCACTCAAGTGTAGTTAAACTCCTCAGACACTTAACAGAGTTTAGTTTGCAAACTGTATGACATTTATTTTAGAAAATAACAATCTGTCTTTATGGCTGATTTTATTGGTTTATCATTGATATATTGACACTGATAAGTAACAAGAAATTCCAGCACAAAAAAACATTGCTTGAGGTAATTTAAACAGTGGTGTCGTTACATATTTTGTCCACCAGAGAGCACTAGCAAGTTTATATCACCACTGTAAAATGTCCCACTCAGTATATATCATGGCACACCATGAATTACGGTACAGACATCCATGGTTTCCACACCATAAGTCCCAGTAACTTTGATGATCCCCTGACTTTTCCTCTAGCGCCACCAGCAGGTCAAAGTTATTTACCAATACTGTGGTTTGTTACCAATTAAATCCAAAGCTAACAACATTCCCTTTAGATGCACTTTTAGTTTGGTGCTAGTTAGCAAATGTTAGCATGCTAACAGGCTAGCCTCAAATGGTAAATATGGTAAACATTAGAGTGAAATGTGATGTAAATATAATAGTAGAACTTAGGTTCAGTATACTATTTAATTTATATGTAAATGGCCCTGCATTTGTATAGCGCCTTTTCTAGTCATCTAGTGACCACTCAAAGCGCTTTTTACACTACGAGTCACATTCACCCATTCACACACACATTCATAAACTGGTGGCTGAGGCTACCATACAAGGTGCCACCTGCTACTCAGTTTTAACACACTCAAACACCGATGGAAAAGCCATTGGGAGCAATTTAGGGTTCAGTATCTTGCTCAAGGATACGTCGACATGCAGCCTGGAGGAGCCCAGGATCGAACCGCTGATCTTTTGATTTGTGGCTAACCCGCTCTACCTCTGAGCCACAGCCACCCATCTTGTTTACATAGTGTTTATAGAAATGTTAAGATGTTCTGGTATCAGGTATCTCCACTAGTGAGCGCTGTTCAGGCAGCTGGGAGTTGGGAGAAGGAGAATGGAGCTTGGAGGGGGATTGAGCAGGTGTAATGGCTGTCACTAAAGTTACACACCCACGTCACTTACATAACTGCTAAACATCGGCATGTTATTATTGCCATTGTTCATTCATTCGTTCATTTTCTGTAACCGCTTATCCTGTTAGGGGTCACAGCGGGGCTGGGGCCTATCCCAGGTGACACTGGGCGAGAGGCAGGATACACCCTGGACAGGTCGCCAGACTGTCTCAGGGCTGACACATAGAGACAGACAACCAGTGAGAATGCTAATGTTAGCATTTAGCTCAAAACCAGCTAATACAGGGACACTCAGCCTGCTTTGTCTGGGGCCACTATGCAAAATGACACAAGAAGAGAGGCCAGTTTATAAGCAAACATTAATAATTAATGTATGAATAATTAGTCTAGACCTCTGCCAGGGGGTCCGGGATAGTCACCTGGCACTTAAAAATTTTCCAGAGTGAATCAGTTTGTTTTTATTGTAAATTAGAAAATGGTCAGCAGGCCAAATGTTGTGCATCCCTACAGCCTCACAGAGCTGCCAGCATTATTTAACATTACAGAAATTAGGCTTTAATTTCTGTAAATATCAGTGTCTGCCCTAAAAATTGAGGGTTTTTTTCCACTTTGTGTTTTTCACAGATATATCAACAGTACAAATGCAGTAACACAAAAATAATACAGTGTGATACACAAACCAAATAAAACACACACACAGTGACAATATATGGTTGTCTGGGATGGTTTCAGTATTAAAGTAAGTATCTTTAAGTTACGCTTTCTTTTAGTCTGTGTCATGTCTCATATAAATGTTACATTTTTCCCAGTTCTTTTTAAATGTATTCTCTTTAATGCTCAAAATGTAAAAATCAAGTATTTTGCAAGTTAATGTCAAGAAAATGTCATGAGAAGTGTGTATAAAATGATGCACAGGACAAGGTGCAGGTAGTAAAATGCTCTCTTATATTTGTATGTTGAACTCAGTACAACGTCCATGAGACATTGGATAAAGCAGATTCTGTGTGTTATATGTACAGTATTTGTAATTTTGTGAGGCAGTGTGGAAATCAGTTTTGTCTGATTTTGAAGCTTTAACTAAAGGATTTCACTGGAGACCCCGGGGTCCATGTGGTGAACAACAACAGGTGTGTGTCTGTGGAAACAGAAACTCATGTGTCCTCTCTTGTGCCTGAAGCGCTGCGACACCTCCAGGTTGTTGTTGTTTTTGTGTTTGAGGTGACGGACAGGGTGTTTTTGTTCAGACTGCCTGTGAGGGTGTGAAGACTGTTAAAACAGAATATTTAAGACTGAGGGGCATGGTCCGTCAGTGAGCTGTGTAAACACTGCATTTTGATATTTTTATGACACTTTTATCGACCTTGATTATAGGGACACATCCTGAAGTGCAAACAGAGGACAGATGCAGGCTGCGGGGTTTGTTCCGACTTAAAGATGCCTCGTGGAGTTTTATTGTAAACAAACAAAAGTGATGTTTACGTTCAGTTTGTCTCACCAAAACACATTGTGTGTGTGTCCTTGAGGTCAAACATGTTCAATGCATTTCCTTCCTCACAAACATTTGCATAAATTGAATTTTTTACTCAATACATATGTATTGCCATGAAATAATATGTCAATTACCTAAAAGTAAAAGTACTCATTTTTTCAGAATAATATGTATGTCGTTATTGGATTATAATTAGTCTATTGATGCATTAATGTGTAAGCATCATAATTTTGCAGCTGGTGGTGTTTGAACTACCAAAATTATAAATTTAAAACATAATTTATATTCTGTTGTAATAAAATTTATTAGTTTTAAAGGGCAAATATTAAAGGGCAACTTCGATATTATTCAACCTTGACCCCATTTTCTCATGTTTCTGTTTCCAAATGACTTATTGCAGCAACATTTTTAAAACTAGTCCAGAATTCAGTGAGAGCACTGCAGCTGGCAGCAGTGAAACAGGCTGCAATGTATTCACTGGGGGCAATTGTGCATCATCAGTTTCCATCCACTAAAAGTGCTTGTTTTTGCCACTGACAAGCTCAGATTGATATTCTAATGTTGTGTTCACACCAGGTGCGAATAAAACAATCTGCATGTGTGAATTACGTGTAAATTAATTAAATTCAAATTCCTGCGGGGAGGCACAATGGACGCCATGGACACGACGCAAAATACGCTAATTAAGTGGCAATATCGCGTCACATGCTTATTCGTGAGAGAAAATCTGAACTTCACTGACCAATTTGCGCCACTATAGCCAATCAGCATTGAGATTCTCTGGGGACATATGACACCAAGGACGTACCAGTGGAAGTTTCATTCATCGATTTAGTGACTTCACACATATGATGTGAGTTATTAGCGTATAATGAAGCGAGTCATCACAAAATATTCTAGCATTTAAACTAAATAGAAATTCGCATCGTGTTAGGTGTGAACACAACATAAGGTGTGACAACATAATGGAAAGAATCCTTACAGAGATAGATCTTTGTGTTGAAGATTAAGATCCTTTTTGTTTTACAGAAGAAACTTTGAAAATTGCCATTGCTAAAGCCTCCAGACTCCATTTAAATAAACATTAACTTTATCATTGTAAAAACACACTTCATTCAAAGTCCACAAAAACAAAATGTAACTCACAAAAGCCATTTTGGTTCATCTTTCCACTGTTCCAACAATCACCAACTCTGGTTTGGTTTAAATAAAACCTTATTCACCCAGTTAGATGTGAAAATATGCTGCCTCTATACAGGCTAAAATTACTGTTTATTTAAAAGGAGTCTGGTGGGTTTGGTGACGGCAACTTCAGGGCTGTTTCAGGTCAAACAAAAATGATCTTACTCTTTAAGTCAAAGGTCTATCTCTGTAAGAATCCTTTCCATATTGTTGTTCGACACTTAAAATAATAATCTGAGCCTGACTGTGGCAAAAACAAGCACTTTTAAAGGACATAAATTGAGGGTGTGCAATTGCCCCAAGTGGTTACATTGCAGCCTGTTTCACTGCTGCCGACTGCAGCCGTCTCATTCAATACTGAACTAATTTAAAAAAATTGTTGTTTCCATTAGTCGCTCAGACACAAACATGGGAAAACAGGGTCCAGGTTGAAAAATAGCAAAGTTACCCTTTAATAATATAAATCTGCAAAGAAGCTGTCAGATAAATATTGCAGAGTAAAAACTTCAGTATTACGTAGACTAGAAGTATAAAGTAACACGAAATGGAAATACTTAAGTAAAGTACAAGCCCCTCCAAACTAATACTTGATTAAATGTACTTAGTTACTTTCCACCACTGCTACTACTTAATGCACAGTGTGTATGTGAGTGTAGTTTGTGGTGTGTGTGTTACAGTGGTATCAAAAGACAATGTGAAGTCATTATCCAGTACATTTTTCCAGTATATTAAATTTGAAAAACATTTGCATTACTGTAGCCACTATTTAAGAAGCAATTTGGTAAAGATCGTAGAGCTGATTGGAATGTATTTAAATAATTTCACAGTAATATCATCTGCATTCTTTAAATTTTACATTTTGAAAGGAATTTGCTGTTTATGTTCATTCTAACTGGAAACGACAGGGAAAAGGAAATAAAACGTCTGTTGTCTTGAAATTCAAACACTCCAACAGTGAAGCAGATTAAAGAAAGAAAGAAAGAAATCAAAGGAGTTTAGCTCTGGCAGTGTTTTAACATTAGATCCATTGACTTTTGTTTGAAACTTAAGGGATGAAAGGAAACACAATCGCCCAGAGTCACACAGACAAAGGAATTATGCATATGAACACTAAACCTGATTCTATGTCCTGGGTGAAGTACAAAGAAACATGCTGTCAGATTGAGAGACCCAAACTGCTGCAGTAAAAAACAAACTACATTCTTTGTTCTGCTGTAATTCAGTCATTTAATCTACTTGTTAATTGATTTATTCTGGATCAATTATCAGTTTAATCTGCATCAGCATTGTCTTCAGACATGAATGAGACAGTTCATGTTAAAGCGTTGGGAGTAATCTTATTAATAATGGTCAGAAAACGTGGTTTTATATTAAACTGTAGCCCATTTTTGCCCTTGCTCAGTGCTCAGTGGGTGTGGTATCAGACAATGAGATTATATGCAGTACTGGGGGGAGAATTATGGTATGTTGAGGGCTCAACACTCACTGAATATGCTTTTGACCAAAGCTGTGTTTGACTCCGCTGGCTAATTAGTGCGATTACTGCACAGCTGGATTGGCCAGACGTTTTACTGAGTTTTGTCAAAAGGATCACTCACTGGATGAGGGCTTCATCCTGACAACTTCTGCTTCAGCAGAGTCTCTCTATTTTAGGACCGCAGGGCTCTGTCTGGGGAGTAGCCGTCTAAATTTAAGAGAGTGGGAAAACTGAAGCAACCTTTTACGAAACCTGTTCCTCTTTTCTGTTGTGTGTAATTCTGTTAAAGTTAAAAGCTTTGTGAGAGCTGCTGGGAGCTTTGTGCTTCCCAAAATCATCATAATCAGATTGTTTTTGAAAATGCATTTTGATTGTTGCTTTGACACTGAAGTGGTTTCATTTGGAGTTTTGTCTTTCTAAAAAATGAAAAACTAATTGCATCAAAGTAGAGCTGCAACTAACAATTATTTTCATTTGGCAGTTATTTTCTTGATTAATCTGTGGACTAAAATAAAAAATAAATACATAAAAACGCTTTTTACAATTTCCTTGAAAGTGACATCTTCAGATAGCTTATTTGTCAAACCAGTCCAAAACTTACCGAGACCCTAAAGTCCTGAAAGGTGAAATTTTTTATCTTCTGCACACAATGTATTCACCATATTCTTTAACTTGTGGGAACAAAAAAAAATATCTTGTGTGCACAAAATAGTTATTCTGTGGTAAGTTGCAAGTAATTATCTTTTGGGAACAACTTTTTTCTCTTGTGCAAAAAAGACAATTATGTTGTGGGAACAAATTTTTTATCATGTGGGGGAAAAAATCTTTTCAGAGCAAGATACACGAGGGAACAAGCTACTATCTTGTGGGAGCAACTTTTTTTAAACTTGTGCGCACATGATAATAATCTTGTAGGAACACGTTATCCTGTGGGAACAATTTATTTCATTTGTGGGAACAAAATAATTATCTTGTGCACACAAAATAGTTATTATGTGGTAAATTACAAGTTATTATTTTGTGGGAACAACTTATTTCTCTTGTACACAAGATAATTATGTTGTGGGAACAAATTCTTTATCACGTGGGGGGGGGGAAATCTTGTGGGAACAAGATATATGTGGGAACAAGTTACAATTTTGTGGGAATTAATTCTTTATCATGTGTGTGTGTGGGGGGGGATCTTGTGGGAACAAGTTACAATTTTGTGGGAACAAATTCTTTATCATGTAGGGAAAAAAATTCTTGTGGAAACAAGATATATGTGGGAACAAGTTTCAGTCTTGTAGGAACAACTTATTTATCTTGTGCGCACATGATAATCTTATGGGAACAATTTTTTTTATCTTGTGGGCACAAAAAAATAGTGCACAAAGATGCGTGTGGGAACAAACTTGTGCGTACAAGATACTTATCGTGTGGGAACAAATTCTTTATCATATGGGGGAAAAAATCTTGTGGGAACATGATGTATGTGGGAACAAGTTACTAGGGTTAGGGTTGCAGTGATGTACCAGTTTTAAGGTATACCATGATGTAAAAGTTGACAGTTATCATACAGTGTACATTTGCTTATCTACGATAATGGGGGAAAAAAATGCAACTGGACGTTGAATCTCCTCTTTTTATACATATTTCCATTGCAACCCTAGTGGGAATTTAAATGACATTTTAAAGACTTGAGACTTGAGCCTGCAGATGTTTGCTTAAACAACACAAATGACTGAAATGAATAACAGATTACCTAAATAGACGTCAATTAATTTTCTTTTTGAATCAATTAATCATCTAATTGTTGCAGCTGTACAGTTAAGATTTTCCTTTTGATCTCTGCCCCCTTAGTCACCCTCATATTAACCTTTTACTCCACCTGTTCTCCCTTCATCTTCTTCTACTGCTCTCTAATCTTCCTCCTCTCTCGTCTCTTTTGCTTGACCTCTCCTTCCTCGTCTGACCCCTCTCTACCCTCTCTCTGTTATCACTCTGTCTTTTCACCTCATCTTTACAATCCCCCCTTTGCTTTCCCTCACTATCCTCACATCTCTCTCTGTCTCTGCTCATTCATCTGGCATCTTTCTCCCCTCTGCAGCAGCCCGTCGGACCAGCACAGCTCCTCCAAGCCCCCGCTGAGCTCCTCGGCCATGACATCACGCATCCTACTGCGGCAGCAGCTGATGCGGGAGCAGCTTCAGGAGCAGGAGCGGCGGGAGCAGCAGAGACAACAGGCCTCCCAGTACCCACAAACCACAGCAGCTCAGAGCCCCGCCATCAATGTCAGTGTCCCAGCCAGTTTGCCTCCTGCTGCCCAGGTGCCAATGGAGGTGCTCAAGGTAAATAAACACGGCTCTAGCTCATGACAGAAGGAGGAGAGGAGGGTTAAATGGCAGCATATGTGATTGGCAGGCTGTCAAAGTTATTACAGTGTATGTATAAAGTTTCCACCTCTGGAATTAGAAGTTGCATGTGTCACGGTTGCAGTCTGAATGGTGCAGGCAGTGCTGTATTTATAGATTATATTGACTCGTGTGGACAGTCAGGCAATCGTGGTTTTACTATGACTGTGTGTAAAAAACACAGGAGTGAGTGAAGTGTGTTAAAATGCGTATATGGGGATTATCTTTCCTGAGAGAATTCCTCTTTAATGCATGCTGTGCTTCCAGCCATTTGGATTTAGCCATCTTTAATCCTATTTGCTCAGCTAGATTCACATCTTTTCAAGCTTTGATTCCCTGGCAGTCCGAGAGACAGGAGACTGTTTCTGTACGAGCAGAGATCATTTTTGTTTGAGGGATCATTTTAATAAGCAGATAAAGTAAGTAAGTTTTACTGTTTGTCTTCTGCGAGAGTTTGTAATCTTTTTTAGAACATAGCGATAGAAATGTGTTTTGCTGAGTTGTGTGGTGGTGAACATGTGTATCAGAGTTATTTCCATTTTGTGGTCACATCTGTTGTTTTTTCTGGCACATTTCATGTATTTCAGTGAGTAACAGTTTAAGAAACGAGATGTGCGATTGTGATTGAGAGAGATTTGCATGATCTATAGACTTTAAGGACTTTTTTAAGGTGTTTCTGACAAAGCAGTTTAGTGAGTCGCCTCAGTTTCAGTTGTTGTTTGTACTTTTTTTTGAAGTTTTTACATCATTGTGAAGGCGATAGGAATGTTTGTGTGTCTGAATGTTCTTGTGTGCATGTATTTACCTCTCCTTGAGTTTTGCATTTTCCATTTATCAACAAAAGAAGCAAATTAAGCTTTTGGTTTTGTCAACAATCTCTATTTGTTTATCACATTACATTGATTTTTGAAAGGGTACGCAGTCATAGATGCAAGTCTTTTCATTTTAAAAATGTGTGCAACACTTAAGGAGATCAAATACATACACAAACAATCTTGTTTGTGCATTTGACTTTCCAAGATGATGATATCTACAGATTTATGATCCTTTAGTGTCAAAAAATCTGACTTTTATTAAACATCAAATAGCTTCTAGTCATGTCACAACGGTTTCCATGGGGAGTAAATTATCTCAGGCAATGGTATTATAAAATATTGCATATAGACAATAATATAGCTGCTCTTTTGGTGCCAAAAAATCTGACTTTTATTGAATATCAAATAATTTCTAGTCACCTAAAAGCGGCTTCCATGGGGAGTAAGTTATCTCAGACATAGCTGTTCGTGATCGTAAGTTGTTTAGATGCCCCAGCAAACAAAAGGAGCTTTATTTAAGGGATCGTTTAAATTGTATAACCTCACACTAGGTGTAGTAGAAGCACTGATAAACTGCGGGCAATAGGGTAATCTTTGTTGATCTAAATCCATCCACAACACAGCCGGAGATTTCATGGTTACTTGCTCAGCCACACTTTCATCACTCTGGATGTGTGTGGCATGGGCCAGCAGCGAAGGACAAATACAGTATATCCATTGAAAACATTGCCCTCCTCATGCAGCATAAACATTACTTACTCGCCATAATCTGCAGCTCTTTGAGAGGTTTAGGGCACCCCCGCCCCCGCCACCCCCCGAACCCTCGCCCCTGTGTACAATACATCAAGTTAGAGTAATTTCTCCACTTTGGCGAGAGCTTACAGACATTCTTCATTGACTGAAGTCCTCAAATGAAAAGGCCGTTCAAGCTTGGCGCTGTTGAGCTGGGTTAACCCACTCCCCTGTCTGTGGGTAGATTAGCAAGAGTCCACAAAAAGCTCAGGGGTACCAGGCAGAGCTGCTGGACCTCAAAAAGTGCAAACATTAAGCTCAGATGAGTTTATCTAAAGACTGATTGGGCCCTTAATTAACCAAGTGACCCTTTGACCTTGTGGGGAATAAGTAAGGGATCAGTTTAGGGATCAAGACAAAGGCGAGCACAGCCTTACCACACACCGAACGCTAATTCAGTGAAGAATGCTCATAATTAGCCCCCACTGCCTTCATTCCACGGCATATTTAAGAGGAAAAAAACACTGCTTTGAAATTTATGTAGGATAACTTCCTAAAAGGGTTAAAAAATGATTTCTTTTTCAAAGGATTTATGGTGCCATGGAAAGAACAAAGTACTCTTCGCCCCTGTACAAAATGTACGTTTCTGTTGGATTATTCAGTCAGGGTAGCTCGTGACCATCAGGACGTACACAAAGATGCCACACAGATGTCTCCTTTCGGGCAATTTGTGAGTTAACACGACAGGACTTCTGAGAGAAATGCACATTCTGTAATATTTAATTTAAAAAGGTGACATTATACAGTGCAGTCATTTCATGAAGTTGTACATATGGCACATTTACTAAGTAGATTTAGTCACAGTAGTTTATTATTAGCTTTCTAGTTATCACAGATGTACATTTTTAGTGTGTAACACAGCAAACCACATTGTTGAAAAACTTTGAACTAAGCTTTTATGGTAATTTTTAAGACAACATTAATCATTTAAGGACACAGTGTTTATGCCATCTTTTTACACAACAGCATGACAACACACGAGAGGTGGAGAAGCCCACAGGTTGCTGTGATGTAGCTGCTCACATTAGCATCACAGTTGTTGTCTGCAGGTTCCACAGAGCACGTTAGCTGCTTAACTGTGAGACAAAGTGGCCTATTCTTCTCGCCTGCATAGCAAATGGGGGCATTCTTGTTAATGTATCCTGGTAGGACCGTCATGGAATGCCCAAAGCATGCAAGTAAAAAAAAAAAAAAAATACAGATCAGTGTTTGTCAGCTCTCACCCTGCGTCCTCTCTCAGTACAGCGGAGTGCTTTGTGAGTGTTTCTGCAGAGTGTTTCTGACTCTTTGAGGGTTATGTTTTCCGATGCCCTCGGGGCTGGTGAAGGCTCAAACCGAGCTGATAAACAACAAGCTGTCTTGTTTGCTGTAGTTGCAGATGCGTTGAGTTAGCAGTTGACGTCACATTTCCAAACTGTGTTTTGTAAATAGCACATTAAGTGAAGTTGGGCAAAGAAAAGTTCAAGTCCTGCTGGCTCTGAGATCTCTATAATCCATTGTTGTGCCCACTGGCTCCTACACAAGCTGGCCAAGTGAATTATTAGTATTAGATGTGTGTGCAGAACTTTTATAGCTCTCAAACCTGGAGACTAAAGACCAGACTCCTTATAAGTAGTATATGTAGAGTGACAAAGACCCTGTAGAAGTTCAGTCTGTGTTGATGTAAAAACACCATTAAAAAAGCCTTTTTTGATCCCTAACAACGGATAAACTTTCACCCTCTCCTCCATTTCATCCCAACAAAAGCTACAGTATGTATCGACAAGGCCGGGATGTTCCACCCCTGAGGTCTGTGGCCCCCCCAGGGGGCTCCACTGAACTCGGCGCAGTGAGATCATTAAAGTATGTGTGATAATTTAGGAAATCCCTCGGGACACAAACAAGCTCGACAAACCACTAATGCTCAGTTAAACGTAAAGAGAAAACTAACAGCTCCAGTTGGTTAAGTAAATGTAAGAGGTTTATTGTGCAGATCTCAGGGCTGTGATTAATGGTTATTTATATTTTTTATAATTGATTGATCTGCTTATTATTTTCTCAACTTACTGATTAATCAATCGGACTATGTGGAGTCAGAAAATAGAGAAGAATGCAATGTGCAAAGAACCCAACAATGTTTGTAGGCTGCTTGTTTTGTTGGAAAAGCAGCAAATCCTCACACTGAGGAGCTAAAATCAGCAACACAAATACTTAATTGATTAATGAATTCAGGGCCGTAACCCACAACTTTCATCATCGATGAATCTGCTGACTATTCTCTTGACTTATCCATTAATTACTCAGCGTTGGAAATGTGAGAAAACTGAACCCCCTTCATGACTTACATGATTGGCCATCAAAAAAATCACAGATTAATTTTCTGTCATTAGACTCATCTATTGTTTGACTGATCATAAAGAGTCAAGACTTTACAGACTAAAGCCGAACTGTTGCATCCACTGACACACTAGGTTCATATCGTCATACTGGGATTTTTTTTTTTTTTTTTTAAATCAGGGCACCTTTCACTTTGACTTGTGAACATAATGCCCTTAATGTCCTTGTTGTTTCTATTCTTAGTGCGAGGCAGAGAGAAGGGGGTCGGGGGGGTGACAGTTGTATGGAGCTCCTACAGTAATCCTTTGAACAGTGTGGTTGTTTCTTTTTTTAGCCAGTAACAGTTATCACTTCTGTGGATGTGTGAACTTGATGAGGATGCGTGCAGACAAAGACAGACAGAGCCAGAAGTCTCTGTAAGAAAAATCTTGCTGTATGCATATAGCAGTGGTTTCTAACCTGGTGGTCTGAACTTCCCAAGGGGTCATAAGATAAATGCGAGGGGTTGTGACACGATACACAGCAGAGCACAGTACAGTGCACAGGGGAAAAAAGCTTACATTAAAATATATAGTTTATATTTTCACAGCCTCGGTGCAGGCTGGGTGGATTAACTCCTGTGACCTACAGAAAATTGACCAGAATTTAACAAAACTGCAGCTAAAAGAACCAAGGAGATATAACTCTGAATTTAGAGGAAGATCTCTGCAAGCACATTTTTATTATTATGAATTCATCAATTAATTTCTCATAATTATCTCACTTATTCATTAAGAGGCAGGACATGAAGCGAGTTGTGGGTTTGAAGTCAAAAACAAATAAAACAGCCAGAAGCTGACACCATATTGTTCTTTAGTATTTGCAGCTGACTGACTGCAAATTAAAAGATGCTACTTTGACTTAAGATATTTTTGTTAGAATAAAGAAATAAAATAACATTCAAAACATTTCATTTGTAGCACAATGAATACACAATTCAGTTACATAATATGCATTTTTTATATTTAGTCTAGACTTTAAGTGGCTTTCAGCAAAATATTGAATGTCTTAAATATTTAAGAACTAACTCGCAAAGATTTAGACATTTAAATTGCTGATTAAAGACTCTTTATAGATTGCCGATTTATTATTTCGCTACTATCTGGATGCTTTTCTGTATTTCATTTGCTGATATATAACTTAATAGCTTAATAACTATTTTAATTATCAGTTAATCGCTTATTTTTTCAATTGAAATGCTAAAATATTATCTGCTTTCAGCATCTCATATAATAGAATATTTGCTCCTTTCATTTTCTCTTCCTTGATACAATCTTAATATTTTTAATATCTTTGGGGTTTGGACTGTGGGTCAGATGAAACAAGCAATTTGAACGTGTCAGCTTTTACTATTTTTTGACCTCTCATGGTCAAACGATTAATCATTATTTTAAAAATATAATCAACAGATACATTTTTTTTAATCAGCAGACCTAAAACACAGACATATGAGAGAAAAATCTGAATTTTAAGAGAAAGCGAGATAATAAAAAACATGACTCAGACTCAGGGTATTGTGCTAACTGTCGTAAACACGCTTTGTTTAGCTGTCGTTTACGCATGTGAGTGCAAATAACTGGATTGCTCATATATGTATCATCCATCTGGATCAGGTTTGTAAACACTCTGCGGCCCATTAAATGTGTTCAATCTATTTCCAGGATCAACGTCACTGTGGTATAATGTAACGTATAAAGCATATCATTTTTAATAAAATCCTGCCTGCGTGTCGATGGTGACTGCGGCTTTACAGAGGCATTTATCTACTATTGATGATCTGATAACAGTGGAAATGATCCTCATGATAGCATCACTAACGATACTGCACTTAAACACCACACTGAGAACACAGTAAAGACTGAAGGATTGTAGTGACCTACATTAATGAGTCTCATTGTTTTGCACTTTAGCCCAAAGGGTAACATGGTTCTAATGAGAAATTGACGTGCTGTAAATATGCCCTCCCCCAGTGCTGTCAGGTTTACAACCCTGTAATGACATAATACCTGCTTGATGAGTGTTAATTTACCTGTCACATGAGTGTCCCCCTGCAGGACAATGAAACTGTCTGAAAGACTCTCTGTTCTGGTCAGAGGTGGAAAAATGTAACACAGAAAGACAATCAGGTCAGATAACCTGATGTGACCCGACTAGGAGTGGGCGATGTGGCCCTAAAATAATATCACGATATTTCAGGGTATTTTTGCAATAACAATATTCCACAAGTGTCACATAGGTTTACATTAGGAAGAGATGCTGTGCTGAGCGTTAAGTCGCTAAAAGAGACTGGAACCATTGCGGAGTCTGTAATAGTTTCGCTCTCCGCCATGCTAGTCGTTGCACTGGGTAACAGTATGACGTCAATATGTCAACAAGACGAATTTGTCATATTGTATTAAAAATTATACCGGTATTATCTTGAACAAGATGACATGGCACAACCCTGAGACCCAACTGGTTTTAATACTTGGACTGTTTATATGAAGTCCATTCAAAGAGATGAAAACTAGGCCCCTTACTGTGTTGGTGAAACTCAGCTTACAGCACTTGGGCCAAAACTGGACCGTGATAGGTTGCCAGATGGCCTGCCAACCATTTTGTAACTCACAATAAAAATACAGTGATTCACACTGGGAACTCTTTTGTACTTTGAATGTAAATAAGGTGCCAGAGCGCATAAAGACATCAAAATAGAGAGAAGATCCCCTGGACAACCCTGACAGGGATCTGACCCAAGCCCAGAATGTCCTTAAAATAGTAGAAACAAAACTGTGAGGCTGCTGCGGCTGGATTTGCCTCTCAGCAAAAAGAGATGAGAGCTTCAGAGGCAGAAAGGTTGAAAACAAGCAATTCATTTATTATAAATACTGATAAATATTATTAATGTATGTTTATTAATGGGCCCCTGGTTGCCTGTTATTTTGCAAAAGTGGCCCCCAGGCCAAACAAGTTGAGTTTCCCTGCTCCAAAAGGACACAAGTGGACTTGTTGTGTTGAGCCACATCATGATATTTTAGTCACTGCTGTGTTTTATTAGTCAGCCCCCACAGATAATTTAGTATCCATGCTCTTCAATAAAACGTGTCAATGCATTTCTTTCTCTTTCCCAGGCTCCACGTGTTGTAATAACCATATCATCTCGACTGTCGAGCACAGTGTGCAGACTACAGGGGTTCTCACAGAAGCAGAGGAAATGTCAGCAGTAGCTTAGTGTTTGTCTAGAGCCTGTGACCTCCTCAGCTCTGTTAATAAAGCCAAATCCGCCGAGCTTAAGCAGAACAAATACATAAATGTGTAAAAATGAAAGCAGCCGAGGCCGTTGTCCGTTGGTCGTGCCTGCTGTCGCTCGATTAAAAATGTCATTATGAGACACGAGGAGAGGCGAGCTGCAGACACACAAGGATATGAGAGACTTTATTCTTTGTGCTGTGCTGAACTGGGAAATTACGCAGAGCATCCACAGGGTTAAAAAAAGTGGATGCAGCAAAGCAACAGCCCCGGGCAAGTTTCAGTAAAAGAGGTGGCTTTGCAAAACAAAGGCAGTGACTGTCTGCAGCACATCCTGACATCAAGTGATAAATTCAGATTTTACATAAAACAACACAAATTTGAAAAAGCTCATTGTGCTGCCCTGATGTGCATAACTAATTACTTTTCTTGGCCTTTAAAAGATGAGCTGGATGTGTTTGTCCTTAGCAGGCTCAGTCTTCTGGTGCAAGCAAGAGGGAAGTAGTACTTGTTAGTTTGGATAGAAGTTAAACACTTAAGTTTTTCAGTTTTTAAATTGGGCGGATCACTAAACTGTAAATGATGCTGAAGCTGCTTGGATATCAGCCGTATGAGGTATGTTTGAAATTAAAGTTTTCTTTTTTGGAGTTTTTTAAATTACACATGACAGTATGAAACTTAATTCTCTGGTCATGTAATTACCTACAACAGCGCTGATGCATGTTTTATATAATGGCTTTTGCGATGAACTCCCTGTTGTGTCGTCATTTCATAAACCACAGAATCTGTCAAAAAAATTCAGGCAATAGACCGATAGAAGGTTTAAATATAGACTCCAAATGTGAGCTGGAATGCAGCAGCAGTGCTCCATTTAAAATGAGTTACAGCCTGACAAACACTGCCTCTGAAGTTTGTTTATGTGCCTGCAGTAGCTTTTCTGGATCATTAATGCTGCGTGAGGATTAATGATCCACAGAAATAAAATGTATCCATAACCGGGGAGTGCAGAGACGGGTGTGCGTGTAATTTTTGCTACTTAAAATATGTGGACTATAAATGCAGAGAAGCAGAACGTAGTAGAAAGATATGTAGAAATAGTTTCCTGCCGAGACTCTCTGAGATAACGACACTTGACAGCATCTCAAAAGAAAAATGCATAATGCATCGCAGGATTTGAACTGTCAGGTTTATTTTAATATTCTAGTAAGTACTGTGCAAAACTAGAGACAGGCTTTGAGGTTTTTTTATATATCCATATATATTTAGAGTCTTTTTAATCTAATAGAGCACAACAGAACATAGCCAAAACAGGCAAAACGTGACCACAAAAATAATAATGTGTGATTTATTTCTATACAAGCAACATTTCCCATGTTGCACTGGTAACCACTGACGCATCCCAGTACCCATCCTGCCTTGTCATCTCATATCCTTCTTCCTCCTCTCCCCCCACCGACAGGTCCAGACTCACCTGGAGAACCCAACCAAGTACCACATCCAGCGCTCTCAGCAGCAGCAGGTGAAGCGGTACCTGGGAAAGCTTGGCTCTCAGGTGTTGAGCTTGCCCTGCCACAACCAGTCCTCTGACCACGGGGGCATGCCGCCAGGGCCGGGCAACAGCGCCCCCAACAGCCCTATGGCCTTACTGACCCTGAACTCTAACTGCGAGAAAGAGGTGACAGCTTGGGACTTGTGTTTCTTACAATAAGACACAGAAAACTCCTTTTTGTGATCTTAAGCTCCTGAAAGCTGACTTATCTTTGCCCTTTATGTTGTCTTGTTTCAGATGGATGATGTCATTGATGACATTATTAGTCTGGAGTCCAGTTACAGTGATGATATCCTCGGCCTGATGGACCCAGGACTTCAGATGGCTAACACGGTATGTGTGTGGTTACACTTCACACAGGCACCTCACTTTTTAAAGGGTCACCACAAGAGGGCGTCTTATTTGGTGTGTTTTGGTGTAAAAACATCCAAATAAATTCAATGACGCTTTTGAAAAGGCAAAATCTCAATCTGCTGCTGTACCACCAGAAAGACGGTTTGACCAGATTAAAAGAAATAGTCACAAATTTTGGAGAACACTTCCTGAAGTCCTCCTGAAATCACTGCATCCAGCCAAGAAATAGTCCCACACATGGCCCCCTTTAACCTCCTGCAACCCTGCGTCCTCATATGGTGACATTACGTTTTGGGTTGTCCTCCTTCGTGGACACTTATTGTGCCATCTAGTGGCAACAAAAGCACAGTACACTAATTAGCGCAAGAACAAAATAGGGGGACATCTCAGCTGAGTCATGCTAGGGTTTGCAAACATAGGAACACATACAGTAGCATATTGATCACTAGTGTGTAACAATGTATAAAACTGATCATTGTCACTGTTAGGGCCCTTTTGAACAATCTATAACACATAGTCTAAAGTGCATAGCTCAAGTGCATTAAGAGCGTGTCATAACGGTGCATCATTTTGGTGCAAGGTAAGGGGCAAGAAGCAACAAGGTGATATTTGGTCCCTTTTTAATCATAGGTGTGTTTTGGGCGTAATATGAATTACACTTATCAGGGTGTCATCTCCCATTCCCTTTAAAAGCAAGGTGTGCCTGCACCTGACACATGGCTATTTACATGACAGATTTGATAAAGTGGAGAAGCGAGAGTTTTTCTCCTGACAGTAATGCAGCAAGGGCAGTAATGTCACTGCAGCAAAGCTCACACAGTGTCTCTCTTAATGGAGAGTCAGACAGGAGCTCTGCTCTGCTCTCTGCTATGTTCACATCTTAGAGAATGTGAATGGGGCGCTGGTGGCTTAGTGGTAGAGCAGGCGTCCCATGTACAAGGCTGTTGCCGCAGCGGCCCGGGTTCGACTCCAGCCTGTGGCCCTTTGCTGCATGTCACTCCCTCTCTCTCTCCCCCCCCTTCACACTTGTCTGTCCTATACTTTAAAGGCTATAAAGCCCCATAAAATATCTTAAAAAAGAGAATGTGATTAATATTTTCCTCATTACTGATATATTATTTCTGCTACCTACCTGCGCATTGTACTTATTATCTGAATAATAGCAGGAAAATACGGAGCCACTGATTTTAAACCTAGTTTTTGTTGGTCAATGGCTTGATTGATTTCTGATTCAGTTGTTCATTTTCTGTAAACGCTTACCCCGGTAAATGATCGCAGGCAGCAAGAGCCTATCCCAGCTGACATTGGGCAAGAGCTGGGGTACACCCTGGACAGGTCCCCAGGCTATCACAGAGAACCCTTCACGCTGACATTCACACCTACAGGCAATTTAGAGTCTCCAGTTAATGTCACCTACATGTCTTTGCACTGTAAGAGACACAGGGAGAACATGCAAACTCCACATAGAGGGGTCCAAGCGAGCAGGTGGATCCCATCCATGAACCTCTTGCTGTGAGGCGACAGTTGAAGCCTCCTGAAATCACTCTCTGCTGCCTCAAAGTAGCGATATGCTAACGCTGCGCCTGACCACACCCCATTTTAAGACCTGCACCCCCATGGGCACACAGATGGGTGCCAGTACAATTGCTACCTGTACAATGTGAGAACTGGTCTTAAAAATGACAAATGTGTCAGTCGGAAACTAGCAAAGACAGTTGCACTGCACTGTGCGCCGCTTTGCGCTAAGTGTAAGATATTTTTTTGAAGTGTTAAACTGTTCATCTCACTGCCTGAACACAACTGTGCAAAAACAAAATTGCAAACAATGCAACACATGATCAACACGCTTGTGATCTGTTTGGTTTGTAACACTGTATGAATTTTCCTTGCTCCATACTCCATATTAGCAATGTCGTTTTTGTCTGTAGGAACAGGATGTCACACCTTTGGCCTGTGTGAAATGGTGCATAACAGCTGTGTCCAGTTTGCAAGCATAGGAACATGTTACATGTCACACACTGCACAGAGCAAGAAAAATTCATACAGTAGTGTTCAACAGATGTTGCATTGTTGTTAATTTTCCATGCACTGGAATAAACAGTTGTATATTTTGCTACACACTGACGACTTTATTGTCTTACACAGCAAAATAAACCCAATGTCCCCATATGAGGACATTGCTGTTTTTGTTTTTCCAAAAACTACTTGTTGTTCAAACACAGTGCTGATTGTTTTTTCTATGGATTAAACAAACATGAGGTGTTAATAAGTGAGCTTTAGAGGTGCTGGCAGGCGGAGTTTTACCTTTGGCTGTTTCCCCCTGTTTACAGTTTTTATGCTAAGCTGTTTGTTGCAGCTCCATATTCAACATACAGACCTGAAAGTGGTATCAATCTCTTTATCTAACTCTTGGCAAGAGAACAAAATAGCAAGTTGTTATAGTTTGCATTATATGACATCTGTTTTCTCACTCTCTTATAATAGGCCTGTTTTATGTCACCATACTTCCCATCATGCTCATCTCGTGATGCTGATTAGCATAACGTCTTACTGTCTGCTTAATGTCTGTACTGAATCCCCCTCAGATCCCCGTGAATGCTAACCTCATGGACATGTATGGTAATCAGGGTATGCCCCAGCAGGGTCTGCCCATCAGCAACTCCTGCCCTGCCAACCTGCCTAACATCAAAAGGGAATACTCTGGTAAGCAGCACACTCAATGTCACAGCCAGAAACATACACATGCTTACACGCCTGGCTTCTGTCATCTACAGTAGATATATCAGATGTTTACAGATCTGTCAGCTGTGAAAATAAACAGTAATATCCATTCAGCTTCTCTATTGCATGGAAACATCAGGGCTCTTATAATACATATGAAGCTTTACTCTGCGGGGCTTTGTGCAGCCCATAATGTAGTGTTTTATAAATAGTCTTGTAATCCTCCTCTGCGTGGGGACGTTGCCTGTGAGTGACTGACAGCTTCTTCAGTGTATTTGTGTCCGGTCTGCGCAGTTTGATACTGAAAACAACATTTTTTATCACACAGTTTCACAATCCCCTGCCATCATGCATATGCTGGATAAGTCTGGATCCTGCGGCAAATTTGACAACTATCAGAGGCCTGAAGGGTTCCCTGTTGGTACGTATGTTTAATAAGCCTCAAGAACATTTTTGATACATGCATTGCACTGTTGATTATATTGATCAGTCAAAACGTTTCCCCCAGAAGCTGAGGTAAGAGCAATGGCAAAGGAGAGACAGAAGAAGGACAACCATAATCTGAGTGAGTTTTAATTGTGCTTTAATTGCTCTTAATTATAGAGGTATACTTCTGTAAATGTGACTGTTTGAAACTACTTAGGTGTGGTGAGGTGTGTCTTCTGAGTTACACTATAAGAATAATGAAAACAAGTTTTCAGATAGGGTTTCATCAGCTAATCATGGATTGTTTTTCTCTCTTCTGTTTTTGTTCTGTAGTTGAGAGAAGACGACGGTTTAACATCAACGATCGAATCAAGGAATTGGGCACTTTAATTCCTAAATCCAATGACCCGTAAGTCACTTATTTCATTCACTCTCCATTTTTTAAAAAATATTTTTCTTATTAAAGACAGATTTGCAAAACATAATAAGTAATGTCCGCTGTTGTGAGCAATTATACTTGTGCGGTGGTGTCTGTGTCACTCTGCAGTTAGACCTCGAAAACACTATTTGGCAGCGGAGGTTTCTGTGAAGTGCTGTGAAGTTTAGTTGATTCGAAACACACCCAAAACACACATTAAACATGGCTTATTATAGAGACAATGTCAAACACAAGTACACAAATCAGCTTCACTATAACTCACAGCATTCACAGACAAACACTTGTCTTTATCTAAACACATTTTCTCCACAAATACAGCATGCTAATGTTATTAGCACAAGCCTATGGCATTTTACATTGTATAAATTAGCATAGCGGACTTCTCTCTACTCATATGAAGCCAGGGACAACAGCAACATTTAACAAAGGTAACATTACGAAATTCGGCTCCATTACAACTCACAAGGTTCACTGACAAAACAACTGTCTTATACTAAACTCGCTTTCCAAACAAATACAACATGCTAATGTTATTAGCATACGCCTGTGCCATTTTACATTGTATAAATTAGCCTAGCAACTAGCAAAGATTTCCTCTGCTCATATGAAGCCAGGATAAATCACACACAAGACTTAAAATACTATTTTGTGGACATGTTTTTGTTTCACAATTTACTGTTTCTTCTCTGTGAAATAAAAGTAAATAAAAGCTTCATTTCCACTGAGGGAAATGGTTTCAGCTTACAAAAATAGACAGGGGGTCTGTCTTGCCGCGATGCATAGTTAGATTTCTGGGGAGGTGCACGTCAGGCTATGGTGTAGGGTATGTCATCGATTAGATACAGAAGTATAAATTCTGCCTTAAATGTAAAATATTATAAGAAAAGGGCAGGAAAAATTAAATTACATATAACAATAAAAAATACACAGATGGCTGGCTACTTTGAACACCCAGTCTAGCCATTGATTTAACATAGGATGAATAGTGTGCAAGAATTGAATGTGTGTATAATGATTCACATTTTTTCATGTCAGTCTTGAAACTATGCTCACATTGAAAGAGCTGCTTGTCTCTGTCATCATTCCTCCACAAACAGATCCCTCCTAATGCGATTTTAATGTAACACACAGACCCTGCTCTGTGCAAAAATCTGTTCTGAAGTTAATATGAGGCTTCATTAATTTGAGTTAGACCAATAAAATCAGTATCTTCCAAAGTTGCCCTTGTTTTAGGACAAAATCCCCTCCACTGCAGCTAATCAAGGAAGCACTGTGGAAACACAAAGAGGAAACTGTTTGGACCAGAAAGACTATAAACACTGAAAGTTATTTACCTCACTGTTAAATCCCAATGTCAGATTTTATTCCCCATCTCTTGCATATCGCATGTGTGTATTTAAAAATAATGTCAACCTATCCTTTAATCAATGACCTACTGTATTTGGCTACACAGATCTGTTGGTGTTAAGGAGGTGTTGAGTTAGTCAGAAAAAGGTTAAAGGAATAAGCTCTGATACACACAATAGAAATTACAAACACGATTATGATAATTTGATTGGTCAGATTATGGGTATATTTATCATATTTTCTGTATGTACTAAAATGTAAAGGTTATTAGCACCACTTTAAAGCGGTGGATCCCAACTGGTCCAGCCACAGGGTCCAGATTTCTCCTTTGTCATTAGTTCAAAGTCCACACAGTTTAATACATTCAACGTCATACTTCTGTTTGGCCAAGCTAGCTGACTGTGTCTGCACAAGTACCATAGCTGTCCATTAGTCACTCACTTGACAGCAGGAATGGACACCTCAAAAATGCAGCTTTGTGCTGTAAATTCACTGTACTTAAAAAATAAAGAGTGTTTTTTACAAACTTTTACATTTGCGAGTCACTTGCGGTCCATTCAGGATGGACCCGCGACCCACCTTTGGACCGTGACCCATCAATTGGGAACTACTGATTTAAAGGAATACCTAACCTCGGAAATGACCATTGGTATACCAATTACTCACGCTATGTTATGCTGAATTCACATTCTTCCATGGTGAATGAAGGATACAAAAACATAGTCTTGATGAATTGAAGTCAAATTTTATCAATACATCTGTTCTCAAACTCTTACACAAATCATGCAGTATAACCCAAGTCTCATTTATCCAGTCATATGCTCTGTACTTCCCAAACAAACAGCCTGCCTAATGTGGAAGTGAAAGTAAAACGTATCTCTGCTTTCTTCAAGCCAGACTCCATAGACAAAAACAGTAATTTTACCTTGATGAACATGTGAGCTGCTGGTCTAACATTGCCTCCATCAGTTTGTTTGTTTGTTTGTTTATTTGTGTCATTGTCTGACTTTGGTGAGTCCGAACTAACCTTTTAAAACACCAGCATCAGTTCCCCATGGGAAAGGGCTGTCTGTCTGGAAAGCACTGAGCATACAATGGGATAAATGAGACTTGGATTATACTGCACAAGTTATGTGACAGTTTGTAAACAGATGTTTTGATAACGTGGACCCTTATAACTTCTGTTCATCAAGTATTTTCTCCGTTATGGGATTTTTTTCATTCACCAGATGCATGTGAGAAAAACTTTTTCTCCAGAGATTCAGCGCAACACCAGTTGAGTAATTGATACACAAGTGGTCAGTTGGTGGGTTAAGTATTCCTGTAGGCTCACTCTTGTTTTTTCCGCTGCCCTTTGACCTTGCCTGTGGCTCTGGGAAGAACCCAGCAACCCCTTTTGTTATGTCTATCCACCCATGGTTGTTTTGCTAAACCCCAACTGGGTGCTCCACCCACACACAACACTACATACACACAAACTCAGAGACTGCCTTTTACAAACAGACCTGGATTAACATAGTTGCTGTTATTATAGCTTACACATACTGAATAAGAAAACATGTGGTACATGTGCATGTTAGCATGAGTAATCTTCAATACCAGTAGTCACCCATTACTTTTAATTATAAACAAAAACATGTATCTGTCCTCAAGGCCTCTGACCACTTTAAAACAAATACTAAAACGCCACTCAGCATAATTGCTGGATCTATAATGCAGATTTTCCACGGTTACTCTCGTAAAGATCAATTTTGCCCCTGTAAAACTTTCATTGTAACCTTTAATTCTTCAGGGAGCTCGGGGTCATTCTTATGACTGCTTGTGATCTCAGTGACCCCCTCCTGGACACATTTACGATGCAGCATTCAGTTCTGCAAGGAACTCAGACTTTTAACTGCTGGTCACCTCTGTGACCTCTGGAGCAGCTCTGCTCCTCGCTCTGTCTTAATATTCTCGTGTTTTTCTTACTGAACAATATTGAAGCCCATTTCCATTTGTGTGATTTAAAAAAAAAAATCCTCTAAGTCATTGTAATGAGAAACTGTCTTTGTTCTCAAAATAATGACTCAGAGATAGTTTCTCAAAATACTGACTTAATTTCTCAAAGTAATAGCAAGAGAAACACAGCACCCTACGTCTAATGAAAACCTATCATCAGATGGCTAACTGTCTAATATCAAAACTATAGGATCTCTCTTATTGTAAAATGTACAAATAATGGCTCCACTGTGATTATCAGGGACATGCGCTGGAACAAAGGCACCATCTTGAAGGCTTCAGTGGACTACATCAGGAAACTACAGCGGGAGCAGCAGAGGGCCAAAGAGCTGGAGAATCGCCAGAAGAAGCTAGAGCATGCCAATCGACATCTGATGTTACGGATACAGGTAAAACTTTCATGACTTCCACTGATTGGACAGAAGGGTCACAGAGTTGTGGAACTACTTTTATATTTATGATGTGTCATGTGTACGCAGTGGAAAGAGAGGGGATTGTCAGTGATGAGAGACTTTGAAGAAATACGTCAAGCTTCAGGGGAAATGAGCAGAGCCACTAATTTGCACGGCAAAGGCTGTGACATCTTGTAACTAATTGATCACAAGACAAGAGGCATCAGGGTCTGTGTGATTCGGCTCAGTCGACATCGATTGATTGATCACATCATGTGTCTCAGTAATTATTTAGAGCAGAAAAGATAATGACTTTGGTTCAGTCAGTCAAGTCTGGCATTCAAACTCCTTCCTGAAGAACAATACAAAAATATCAATGTCTTTGTGCAGAATGATCCATTTCAGAATTATATTCATTATATAACTGAGTTGTAATTATTAATGCATTCATGTATACATGGCTTAATTGTTTAGTTGGTAAAAGTGGGCCTCATTTTATGTACATTATAGACTGCTGGGTAGCTTATTCAATATAATATATCATAATTTATTAGCTGATTTATATTTTGTATTAATTATGTGAATATGAAAAGTAACTAAAGCTGTCAAAGAAGGTAATGCAGCAAAAAGAAAAATATTTGCCTCCAAAATGTTGCGAAGTAGAAGTATAAAGTAGCATAAAATGGAAATACTCAAGGAAGTACCTAAAAAGTGTACTTTAAAGGAAACATTACTCCCCTAAATGACCTCTGTGTATCATTACACAACCTGTGTTGCATTGAATTGGGGAAAAATGCATGGAATTTCTCACATGCCTCCAGTGAATGAAAAATCCAAAAATTGAGAAAATTCTAAACTATATCAAAACATCCGTTTACAAACTCTAATACAACTTGTGCAGTATAATCCAAGTCTCATTTATCCTGCCGTATGCTCAGTACTTCCCAAACAGACAGACCTTTCCATCAAGGAGCTGAACTAAAAGTTAAACTTACCAATACTCTCTTCAAAGCCAGACTCCATTGACAAAAACAATTATTTTTACACTGCTGAATATGTGAGCTGCTGGTCTACCACTGCGTCAATCTGGTAACTTGTTTGTGTTATTCTGTGACTTTGGTGTTTTGAAAGGTTAGTTCAGATTCACCAAAATCACATAATAACACAAACAAACTAACCGACTGAGGCAGTGGTAGACCAGCAGCACACATATCCAGTGATGTAAAATTACCATTTTTGTCAATGGAGTTTGGCACTGAAGAGAGAAAAATAAATTTCACTTTTAGTTCAGTTCCCCATCAGAAAGGGCTGTCTGTTTGGGACGTAATGAGCATATGACTGGATAAATGAGACTTGAGAGAATTTGTGAACTGATATTCTGATAAATTTTTGCTGTTGTTAAACGTGGACCCCTATGACTTCAATTCATCAAGAATTTTCTCTGCTTTTGGGTTGTTCATCACCTTGAAGTCATGCAAAAAAAATAAAAATCTTCCTCACAAATTCAGTGTTAACACAGGATGAGTAATTAATATACGAATGGTTATTCCGGGGAGGAAGTATCCCTTTAAGTACGGTACTTAGTTACATGCCACTACTGCCGCTAACCAATTTCATGGGGGAAACTCTGGATCAGTATTTTGTACTTTTATTCTTGACCAACCATAAAGCAAGTAAAACAGTATAGTGGTGTAAGACTCATGTTGACACCAGAATAGAAGACTGTGATTGTGACAGATAATATGGCAGTGAATATTGTCACTGTCTTACCTGTGTGTGTATGTTTCTCTGTGGTTGTCAGGAGTTAGAGATGCAGGCGCGGGCTCACGGTCTGGTCATCACCTCCTCAGCACTCTGCGCTAGTGAACTTGCGGCCCGGTCCATTAAACAGGAGCCTTCCCTGGAGGATTGTCGCCAGGACCTGTACACGCTCCACCCCCATCACCAACACCACCCGGCCTGCACTCCAGAACCACCCAGCGCCCTGGAGCTAAACGAAGGCCACTCTAACTTCCCCGAGGGCCACTACAGTGTTCACTGCAAGCCGGGCTCCAAACTCAACGACATCCTCATGGAAGATAACTTATCACCGGTGAGAGGGGGGGACCCTTTGCTCTCGTCAGTCTCCCCAGACACCTCAAAGGACAGCAGTCGCAAGAGCAGTGTAAGCATGGATGGAGATGAGCAGGGCTGTTAGCACCCCCTACTGGAAGACCCCTCACCTGCATCTCCAACCGTCTCCATCCTGCTGCAAGTGTTCCTGTCAGCAGCTAACACACTCCCAGCTGCTGGAGAGGCTTCCTCCCGTTTGTGTCATTTGTTTGTTGTGTTGTTTTTTTTCTCCCCCGCCCACGTTTACATGTATTGAATCTTTTCCAGTCATGTTTTTTTTGTTAGTTTATTTGTGATATCTTCATGTTTTCAAGCCCTCAACCTTGATTACAAGGACTGATTAAAAAGTTTGCTTTAATCAATACTTTGATGACAATGAGTTACAAAAATAGACGTTTTTATATTTAAAAAAAATATGCATTCATCTTTGAATAGAGGCTAGGTTATGCTTATTTCTATTGATTCCAAAGAATCTAGGGAAGTTATAAATCGTGGTCAGAAATGTAGATATGTAGATTTTGTGTTGAGATGAACACTGCTTTTTAAATCACTAGCAATAATAGGACAAAAAAAAATCTATTTATTACTATAGTGCTTTACACTCCTTGTGTCTTAGATTGAACTTGAATGTGCCAATGCCTTATTAAGATGTGTATACATCGATGTTGTATTGCTATGCACATTTTTTGGCTGTTATCTGAGTCTTTGTCAGTCTTCCAGTTGAAATTTCTTCCTTGACAAATATTAATCATTTGTAGATTTGATCTTATTTATGTTTCTATGTAAACAGGACTTTATGTATACATTTCCCTAAAAATGTATTTAAAACAAGGCATTTAAAAGAGCCTTTTTAAAGTAATGAAAATAATAAATAAATGAATGCACATTAAAAATAGCAAGCTAAAATGTCTCCTTCGAGATTCACCATCCTGATGCATCCTGTAACCACCCAGTGCTGACTGCTCAGCAGTGTGTACCAGATATATTACCAATAAACATTCCTCACTGCCAAAACCACCAAAATACTTAAATTTAACCAAAATAATTAAGATTTTTTTAATAATGCAGTCAGAAAACCAGTCGAATCTTAGCACAAATCAAAATCATAAAGCCTGTTGTAGCTCTGACACACGCACAAGAAGCTGATGATAGATCTGATTGTTACATAATTCTGTAAATCTTTGATAGATGATTAACGCAAGATGAAGATGAATCAGTTTTTAATGTATTCTTGTCTCTAGTGTTCAGACAAAACTGGTAAACCTGCTCCTATCTATCACACACAGTGTACTACTTCAGACATGTGTTGATACAATGCTGAGTTTTTATAATTGTCCATCCATTTCCTAAATTATTGTTTTTTTTACACCACTGTGGTGACATTTCAAATTCAGGATTTTTTTTTTCCATTATGTGAACATTTATATTGCCAAGGAGTATAAGGAGACTGCTTTGGGATTTTGTATGAAATGCATGACATTGTCAAAACACTGGAATGACCTCTGTAATTTGAAATGTGGTTTGTTCGCCTTTTTTTTTTTTTTATCTAAGCATAAACTAACTATTGTATTTGGCTTTTCAAATGCATACAGAATATTGTATGAGATTGCAGATTCTTTATGGTGTACGGTTGTTGTATATTTCAGCAGCTTATTTTCAACAGTTGTAACACATAGCATAAGTATGCCTTTGTTAATATCTACCTGCCATACATTGAGAGCCCTGTTACAGCACAGCCTTCATTTTGTTAAACTATGCAATGGTTGAAGTTGTGTCTGCAGAGCAGCATCGTGTCTCGACAATGTGATCTCCTTATGACTTAGTGTAAACAGTGTCAAAGTAATTATCTTTTAAATTGATTTAAGTGCCTTACAGTCGTTTCAGTTACCCTGGTGATGTAAGAGGAGTTGTAGACAGTGATGCAAAATTTTGTTGATGTTTATACTGGTATTTGGTGCTTAATGAAGTAACTGAAGAGTGCCAAAGTACGTTAGAAAGCAGTAGGAAAGGGCTGTTTGTCAGTACAACATAACACTATAAACCTCTCAGACTCAACAACCACAAAAATATAGTTTGTTATGATGGAGCCCCAAAGTGTTCATTACTAAATAAGTAAATATGGCATTATGAAATGAATATCATAAAAATAAATAGAGTAACACATTAAAGTAAACCATTGAATTCGGAAATAATAAATTATTAAAACCCATTATCATTAATTAATGGTATTTCATCATTAAATTCATATTACAGTGTTTTATTTAGTTAGCATTTATTATTGCACTTTTTTTTTTAGCTCAGTACCCTTTTACAAAATTCTGTTTTACTTAATAATAGTATTTTTCCTATTGAAACTTATATTTCAAAATTATTACCACCCATTTACCACTTAGGCAATCACTTAATCCAGCCTATAGGTTTAACAACAACCAGAAAATTTAGCCAACAGCTACCGTTCCCTACAGCAACAACAACATCAAAACTAATACTGACTACCTGTTGCAGAAACCAAACACAGCAACTAGCCAGCCACTACCTTCATTAGGCAGAACATGGCGACAAATGCTACCTGGCTAGCAAGCTAACACGTAAGGTTAGCTAGTGAACTTGGATTATATAGAGCCGGTGTTGGCAGCAGCTAATTCAGTGTTGTCCTGGTAATGTCGTGTCTCATATTGTTATTCAACAACAGCCAAAATTTAGTCAGCGGCTCCCGTTAGCTGGATCAACGACAGTAACGTTACCAAAACTAATACTGACTAGCTGCTGCAGTTTCCAAACATAGTTACTACCCACTACTTTTATTTAACACAATATGGCAACAAATGCTACCTGGCTAGCAAGCTAACAAGCTAGGTTGGCTAATAAACTTCGATTATGTAAAGCCAGTGTCAGTAGCAGCTACCTCATTAATTCAAAGTTATCTTGGTAACGTTGTGTCTCTAAATTTATTGAACAGCCATAAAATTGAACAGTGGCTGCTGTTAGTTAGTGCTAACGTTACAACAGTGCCAAAACTAATATTGATGTCTAAACTTATTTAGCAACAGCCACAAAATTTAGCCAGCAGCTCCCGTTAGCTAGAGCAACGACACTACCAAAGTTAATGCTGACTATCTGCTGTAGCAACCAAACATAACTAACTCCTCATTTATTCAGCAGAACATGGCTACAAATGCTACCTGGCTAGCACGCTAACTAGCTAGGTTGTCTTGTAAACTGGGCTTACTTTAGCTGCGTTCAGTTGGGGCCATGTTTACGGTGTTAATGAGAACAGCCCATATGAACGCAGCCCTCTTGGTGTACATGACTTCTCATATCCTAAGCACAAGCTAACAAGTTCCATTTTAACACAATAGCACAAAATGGCTGCAAATGCTACCTGGCTAGGAAGCTAACTAGCTAGGTTGCCTTGTAAACTCAGAATATGTAGAGCCAGTGTGAACAGTAGTGGCTAACTCATTCATTCAGTGTTGTGACTTTCAAGTTATTGTTTACAGAAAGATAAATAGAGCATAAATATTTGGTTGCTGTAGCCAAAAGGAGCCAGCTGGTTAACAGTTTTGGCTGTTAGTGAAATGTCTTGTGCCTTTCAGAAGATGGCTCTTGACTCTTAATCTTGTAATATTTTACTTATTTTACTTTATTTCATTATGTCTTATTTATTTAATATAGAACATGTTGGGGTGGCTGCTCATTTTGTTTTTATCTTTTTTAAGGTCAAATTCTTCCCTGAAGGCAGTGTTTCCACAGTTGTACTGAATATTCAGCATCCTTTCAAGACTAGTATGAATGTAGTTCAAAGTGATGACTGCCAAAATGTGTTGCTAAAATTAAATATACAGTAAGTTTATATAAATAGCATTTTTTAACAGCTTAGCTAATGCACCTGATAGTGGTGTTTATCTTCTGCAGTTACAAGCAATACTCAAGATGTAATGGCAGTCAAGGCCATCAGTAAACTACAGGTGAAAGTTCAGTCATGTACCTGGAAAACAGTAAAATAACTTAAGATCTTCTTAATAATATATTTTCTAGAACTTTCAACTACATCTCACAGTCGTCATCAGCAGATGGAGATGGCTCAGCTGTAGTCACGTGACAGTGAAGTTGTATGGAACTTCTGTTGAAGACCATGAGATGTGGTTGAAAGCCCAGAAAAAGCCAGTAAGTGGACCTTAAGTTGATTTTTTTTTGTTATGGCTTCAGAGGACTGCAAAATGGCCTTTATGGTGACACCATTAGTGCAATACACAGTCCCTTTGACTGAAACTAGATGAGCTTTTTTTTTAATGTAATAAATACATAAATCATCCAAACTGAGATGTGACAGGTTACAATGAACATCAGCATCACAGGTGATGGTGGCAGCACTTAATTTAAAAGCCATCACTACGACTGATTTCTCATAATGAATCTCCCAGCTGTTAATTATTATGGCACATTATGGGTAAACCACTAATGAATAACCACGTTAGCTCGATTTAGACCTCCTCTGCTCACTCTCATTCCTGTGGTTCACACAGAGAACGTTAAACTCTGCTGATGTTGCTACTGTTCTTATTGTTACAGTTTATATGAGATGAATGTAGCAATAGTTACTGTAAGCACTGGTTTCAGATTAGTGAACTCAAACTCATTGGTACTCAATGTGGAAACTATCTTATGAGAAATATTAAAAGTTTTATTTGAATGTTTGCAGTGCTTGTGTTTTTCTTCCTTTTTTGTAATGATCCAGTTATTATAAGGTTTACTTTAAAAGCATATTTTATAACAACTCTGTTTTACTATATTGTCATTCATAATGTTTTTATACCACAGCCTTCACTAATAAGTGCCCACAAAAGAAGCTATACCCTCACCCGCCACTTTATTAGGTACACGTTGCTAGTACCAGGTTGGACGCCCTTTTGCCCTCAGAACTGCCTTAATTCTTTGTGGTATAAATTGCTGGGGCTAGAAACATTCCTCAGAGATTTTGGTTCATATTCTACCAGAGTTTTTCCTTATCCACTATGAGGGTCCTAAGGACAAAGGGATGTTGTATGCTGTAAAGCCCTGTGAGGCAAACTGTGATTTGTGAAATTGGGTTTTATAAATAAAATTGATTGATTGATTGATAGCATCACACAGTTGCTGCAGATTTGTCAGCTGCACATCCACAATGAGAATCTCCTGTTCCACCACATCCCAAAGGTGCTCTATTGGATTGAGATCTGGTGACTGTGGAGGCCATTGGAGTACAGTGAACTCATTGTCATGTTCAAGAAACCAGTTTGAGATGATGTGAGCTTTGTGACATGGTGCGTCATCCTGCTGGAAGTAGCCATCAGAAGATGGGTACACTGTGGTCATAAAGGGATGGAAACAGCAGCAATACTCAGGTAGGCTGTGGTGTTTAAACCATGCTCAGTTGGTACTAAGGGGCCCAAAGTGTGCCAAGAAAATCTCCCCCACACCATTACACCAGCAGCAGCAGCCTGAACCGTTGATACAAGGCAGGATGGATCCATGCTTTCATGTTTACACCAAATTCTGACCCTACCATCTGAATGTGGCAGCAGAAATCCAGACTCATCAGACCAGGCAACGTTTCTCCAATCTTCTATTGTCCAGTTTTGGTGAGCCTGTGTGAACTGTAGCCTCAGTTTCCTGTTGTTAGCTGACAGGAGTGGCACCTGGTGTGGTCTTCTGCTGCTGTAGCCCATCTGCTTCAAGGTTGGACGTGTTGTTGGTTCAGAGATGGTCTTCTGCAGAACTTGGTTGTAACTAGTGGTTATTTGAGTTACTGTTGCCTTTCTATCATCTTGAACCAGTCAGACCATTTTCTTCTGACCTCTGGCATCAACAAGGCATTTTCACCCACAGAACTGCTGCTCACTGGATATTTTCTCTTCTTGGGACCATCCTCTGTAAACCCTAGAGATGGTTGTGTGTGAAAATCCCAGTAGATCAACAACCATGCCACATTCAAAGTCACTTAAATCACCTTTCTTCCCCACTCTGATGCTCAGTTTGAACTTCAGCAGTTCGTCTTGACTATGTCTACATACCTAAATGTATTGAGTTGCTGCCACGTGATTGGCTGAGAAGCCATTTCCTTTTAACGAGCAGTTGAACAGGTGTACTTATGTGTTATGAACACATAAGTGTTTATATACTGCTTATAAACAGGAAACAGGGGGACTTAATGTAAAAAACAGAAAAATATTGAGCAAAGTTTAATTTCATTTTAACAGAGAATCTGTTTGACCTATTTTTTTACTGAGCTGAAAAGGGAAAAAGATTGTTTACAGACAGATTTTCTGGTCTGTCATTATACCCGCATGTCCCAGTCTTGTAGGGAGAGGCATCCTCGGAGAACCAGACGGTCTGTGAAGGATTTCTGCACCAGTGCCAGGCAGCTTCAGCTCCAGCCCTGGATGATGCAGTTCTTCTTGTGTGTTGTCAGCAGCTCCCTCTGGTGGGCAACATACACCATGAGGGACATGTTGATGTTGACCGCCTCCCATGAAGCAATGATAATAATGTCCTCTGTGCAGTCAGAAAAGATGGAAATATATGATGGTTATACAATTCTTGTGGGGACAAGAATCATTAATAACTGTTCGCTGTGCTTATACATGATTATAAATCTACTAAGAAGCTATTGCACAGCTTGTCATTTCATTTCATTTGTCATTGTCATTTAGATTATTGCAATCTCTCTCGCGCCTCCAGCTCATCCAAATCTCTGCTGCCAGAATCTTGACTCAGACTAGAAAACATGACCACATCCCACCAATCCTGGCTTCCCTACACTGGTTACCTGTCGCTTGCAGGACTGATTTTAAGATTTTATTGATTACTCACAAAGCCCTGAGAGGCCTTGCTCCAACTTATATAACAGATCTTTTATTGCCCTGTGTTCCTTCTTGCACTCTGAGATCCTCATATGCATCTTTTCTTGTTGTTCTGAGGTCTAGATTAATTCACAAAGGTGACAGAGCATTTGCAGTCAGAGCTCCTTGACTTTGGAGTGACCTGCTTGAGGAGATCAGGCCTGCAAACTCGGTCTCGTCTATTAAATCACTTCTGAAAACCTCGTACTCGTACTCGTACTCGTACTCGTCGTCCTCCGCTTATCCGGGTCCGGGTCGCGGCTGCAGCAGCCTCAGCAAAGAAGCCTAGACAGTCCTCTCCCCAGCCAGTTACGTCAGCTCTTCCGCGGGAACCCCGAGGCGTTCCCAGGCCAGCCGGGTGATGTAGTCCCTCCAGCGTGTTCTGGGGCGACCCCAAGGTTTCCTCCCGGTTGGACATGCCCAAAACACCTCCCAAGGGAGGCGCCCGGAAGGCATCCTTACCAGATGCCCGAACCACCTCAACTGGCTCCTCTCGATGTGGAGGAGCAGCGGCTCTACTCCGAGTCCCTCCCGGACGTCTGAGCTCCTCACCCTATGAAAGGTTCTGAAAACCTACTTGTTAGAATTGCCTTTCAGTAATTTTAACTGCTTTATAATTAGATGTTTATGCTGTTATGTGTATTGTGTTTTATTGCTTTGGCTTTTATTCAGTTTTGTAAAGCACTTTGTAACTGTGATTATTATTATTACTATTATATGTCTAGAGAAGAGTCGACCCAGATGACCTTTAGCAAGCAAGTGTTTTTGTCACAACATGCATGCTCACTTCTAATACACTGTTTGTTGGGTAATTACCCTAGATGTTTTAACAACAAGACTCATTTGCATTGTTAATCAAGGATGCTAAAATTGTCCAAACTGCAAAATCAATGAAAATATGTCCTCAGAAATATGCTAATGCAATTAGCTGTAATTAGCCTTTGTTGCACAGAGCTGAAGCCTGCTCAGCACAATATGAAAATCAGCTTCAAGAGATTTGTTCAGGAGAGGTTATCCTCTATTTCTTATCAATCTTTTAATAAACTTGTAGGAAGGAATATGGTCTTTATTGCTGGTGCATTCACGTGCTTGTGGGGAAACTCCAGGAGCTCCTGCAGTCCTATTTTTTAAACAAATAACAGCTTTGGCACACAAATTATTATCTTGTGTACTAGCTAATCAGTATTCAACAGGGGGAAGAAAGAACCACATTCACATTGTCTGCTGATTATTTCTGTTTGATTGTCTTTTGTGTTTTTAATTTCTTGACAACGTTGCCTGTCAGTGCAAGGCTTTTAACCTGTCAAATAGCACTAAGGAGAAAATTGGTTTCTGTTTGAAATAAAATTACCATTTACAATAACATAATTCTAGTCTCAGCACTTTAATTTTTCTTCCATACCAGAGGGAAATGCAACCTACAATATTCCTGCCAAAAAACCCCACCAGGAAACCTGTTGTTTACTGGCTACCACATACAAGACCTTGACTTTCTTGATAGACAATCACGCAGTAATGAGCACCTTTAACATCTCTGCCATCCCATTAGAGAGTACCTTTTATACTTTAAGTATATTTTACTGATAAGACTTCAGTTATTTTACTTAAAGGGGAACTCCACTGATATTACACATCAAGTTTGTTTACAGGTCTTGGGGGACTACTATTACATGTGAAAAAGAAGTTGTATAACGACTTTTGTGGCTCCCAAGGGAGCTACTTAAAATCTAATAAATTGCCTCGAGTGACGTCAGCATTGGTTGAGGCTGATGGTGTGTTCCTTTTAACTGGAAAGTCAAAATGTCCAAGTTTCCAGATGAAAATTTCAACTGAAATGCCCCCTGATGTAGGATTTGCGACTTAGAAAGTTGGAAGAACTGACTTTGAAATCCAAGATGGCTGCTCCACACATCAACAGTGGTAATATACTGTTTATTAGTATTTGTGTCTCATTAGATCAGTCGTACATACAGTCCTGTCCAACATATTACTCTTGTGTTTGTTTACACAAAAGACTACATAATGTGTCATTTTCAACCTGTATTGCTAACAGCAGCTAGCAACGGCTAACCTGGCTTGAACTTGGTTTTCTGACTCGTCGGCTGTGCCTCCTACCCAGCTCCACCCTCTGAGGTAAATGGAACGCAGCTTAAATACTACATCACAACAAAATTCTGGGGGTGTGGAGTTAAAAAGAGGTGAGCTTACCAGATTTCTGTAGCCCACTCTGCTACGTATGAGCCCTGACAACACAAGGCTGATTCCAAAAGACATAAAACAGGCAAGCAACAAAAAGTGAAGGAGCAGGCCGAGGTTAATCAAAGTACAAAGGAAAAACCCCAAAACTGAACTGAGAACAAATTATTATGTCATGAGGAACACAGGCAGGGAATCTGACAAGGAACACAAGTGACAACCTGACAACTGGTGGAGGGAAAGCACACAGACTAAACACACAAGGGCCTAATCAACTAATGAAACACAGGTGTGACAGAAAACAGGCAGGAAAAAGACAAAAGCAGTCCCAAGAAGAAGAAGTGCAAGAGGGCAAAGGAAGGCAGAAAAAGAAGACTTTACACATGAGGAGTGACTCTGAAAATAAAACGGGGAAAAGCTACAACAACACCCTAGGATCAAGTACACAGTCCTTATCTCTACTTGAGGCTAGCAGGGCAAGGTGACATTAGCCACCACTAGCATAACACACTTGAATCTTCAACTTAACTGTTGTCAGGCTGTGATGCATCGTGGGTAATGTAGGCATCAATTTTTTGACAAAGAAGAGGAATGTATGGAATACAAAAGACGACATCGCTGGTTCTGCTGCATCAGTGTTTATAGTTTTTTTTTAAAAAAAACAGTCCCTGATGAGTCTGACAATGCTATGGGAGTGCAATGAGTTTTACTTGTAATGGAATTACTACTTACTTTTTTACTTACTTTTACTTAAAGATTCAGTGTGTAGGATTTAGGGGGACATTTTTTAAATGTGAACTGCTTTATTCAGTGTTTCTACAATTTAAAATCAGCGGGTGCATTTATTTTGGAGAAGGGGAGACCTCTGTGGATAATTTGGCTTTCAGTGAAAAACCTCCTGAATGTCTGAATCTTTAGTTATCAGAGAAAAAAGGTGAGCTCACATCTCCAACATGCCAATGAGCATCGGAGTAACTCTAATATGTAATGTGAAACTGCTTTTTTCAATGTTTTTACTGGTTTAAATCACCTTGCTGTTTGTTTTAGAAAGGAAGCTACCATTTTTTGATTATTTGTCCCCCTGTAAAAACCTCCTAAATAATAACACTGAAGGAATTCAAACCAGGAGAAGTTTCAGCTGGTTGCAATTTGGAATCCTCACCACTAGATGCCACTATATCCCCCTAAATCTTGCACACTGTTCCTTTAAAGGTATACTAGGCAGGAATTGCCTACCACAGTTTGTAAACAGTATCACCAGCAAAAGTGAAAGCATTTAATGGTGCTTTGTCCTGTAGCTTTCTTTTGGATGCTTGGTGCTGATGGTCTGACACCTGGATAGTGCCTTTTTTCAAAGTCCCAACCTCACTTGCGCACTGTGCCCAGGAATGTCTCAAACATAGCAAAATAAGAAGAAAGTAAGTAAATACAGGCAGAGTATCTACAGATGAACACTCTGCCACACACTTATAGTGAGTCATAAGTGATGTGTGAGAGGGATTGCATTGCATTTGTATAAGTCTACATATTGTTTTTTAGGAAAATCCTGCACAGTATACCTTTAGTATAGGATCTGAATACTTGCTCCACCACTGCTATAAATGTTTCACACATGAGTGACCACTGCCTGAAATAGAAAGGTATTTCAGCTCCCCCAGAGAACAGGGCAAACTGATGGACATATAACCAAGGAGTGTATATAGTAAACATACAGTTCGACCAATGAATTTCTAAAGAGGCAGGACACTACTCTGCTGTATATGCTATTTGATTTATATATATAACAACCTAATTAAATGTATTTGTGATGGCATTGAACAAATAAACCCATTAATATTACATACTGCCGAATAATTCATGACAATCAATTACAAACGAATCCTTTTAATGCATGATATCAATCCATTTCCATTTTACACTTCAGCATGCGATAACTTTCCCTCTGCAAGCCGACACCGCTCACTCTGTCCGATCCATATTTCTTTCAGTTGGAACAAACTGAACTCAGTTTGTTGTGAATGGCTGCAGTTGTTATTTGAAAGCATGCTCACAGATCCCCGCTGTCCTAAATGTCTTCACCCACTCTGTCATGCTTTACGAGAGGAAATGTACAGGATGCCAGGGAAGAGGACGTGGTCATGGCTCAATATACACACTCCTGCACTCAGGATGTTGGTATTTGGTTACTTTGCCTGGTGGGGCAAATGTGGCTGTAACAACAAATGAGCTATTCTTGTCTTTTATTATAACAATCAGCTCTACAGGGTTTTGAAGGGGGGCAGTCGTGAATAATGTTGAGGCACACAAACTAAAGATCATGTGAATTTCCATGAGGTGAATATCAAAACAGGCAAAAGCAGGCAATTTATTTTACATACATAAATGTGAATAAGATGAAACAGTATTTCTGTTTGTCGAGCATTCAAGTTTATAATGTTTGTGATTTTGTTTGAAGTTTGTTTTTGAGGTGAAAGGCAGAGAAGGAGTTTCTCAGCGATAGCAGACCTCTGATATCTCCATGGCCAGCTCTATGAGTTCTCCTGCATCCTGACAGGAGCCACAGCAGTTACAGTCCAGCTCCAGCTTGTAGTTGCAGCAGTCCTTCCCCTGCTGCTCTGGCTCACTGGAAGCCGTGATATAATTGTATGAGGGAAAACAGCGGCTCACAGCTCTTTCACACGTATCCGGTAGGAGGACCATCAACTCGTGGAAACGACAATGCAGACAGGCGAGAAGAAGACCTGCGCAGTCATCTGGTGGCAGTGACAAGGTAGAATAGAGAAGAATCACAGAGGAAATATGAATGACAAATGTTTATCCAAAAGTTGCCAGGTAACACATTACACCCTCTTAAAGTGTCTACTTAACACTCCTCTGAACAGATACACAACTACACCAGCTAAAATCTTATTAATTACACTACAGCTACACAGTTTCAGGGCCTCTAACTTTCATCAGCAATTGTACTTAAAGGGACAGTTCACCCCAAAATAAGAAATACATATTTTTCCTCTTACCTGTAGTGCTATTTATCAGTCTAGATTGTTTTGGTGTGAGTTGCAGAGTGCTGGAGATATCAGCCATGGAAATGTCTGCCTTCTCTCCAGTATAATGGAGCTCGATGTCACTCAGTTTGTGCTGCTCAAAGCGCCAAAAAATACATCATACAACAGCAATGTCTCTTTCCAGAATTCATGACCCAGTTATTCATAAAGGCATCTTATCAAGATAATCCACAGACCTTGTTGTGAGCAGTTTCACGTAGGAACTATTTCCTTTCTACCAAACTACACCCGCCAACTGTATCACTGTGCATCCATTTACTGCTACACTATCTCTACATTTAAGAGTAGACCTTAGACTTTCCTCTTTAGCTGCTTCTCCACTGCACAAAAAAACCCACTGACACCAGCTAACACCTTGCTTTTTAATTTAATTAAAAAGGGTTTTAATATGCATTCACACCCGGGTCAAATGACTTTGCAGTAGTCATGGGTATTTATCGCCTCTAGCTCTGATTGGCATTGATGGGGAAAAAAATCTGAGTGAACATGCTAATTTAAGACCCTTTAACCAGCAAAATGCAATAATGCTCTGATACAAAATACTGCGTTGAGCTTTTTTTTGTGGAAAAGCAGTATTTGAAGCATATAGTTGGGGCTGGCTCAGGCTTGCCTTGGACCAGCCCCTAGTTAGGCTGATATAGACCTAGGGTTAGGATAAGGCGGTGTAGTTCCATAAAAAGAAAATAGTTCCTACATGAAACTGCTCACAGCAAGGTCTGTGGATTATCTTGAATAACCGGGTCATGATTTCTGGAGAGAGACATTGCTACTATTGTGTTTTTTGTTTTTTTTTTGGCGCCACAAGCTGAGTGCCATCTAGTTCCCTTATATTGGAGAGAAGGCAGACATCTCTATGTCTGATATCTCCAACACTCTGTAACTGACTTGAAACAAACTGATAAATAGCACTACAGGTAAGAGGAAAAATATGTTTTTTTGATTTCGGGGTGCACTTCTGATCAGATACACAACTATACCATTCATAATCTTGTTAATAACACTTGACAGTTTCAGGGCCTCTTAATTTCATCAACTGTTGTGCTTAAGGAGTTTAACAATACCTCCACCTTCGGGCTGGTATGACTCATCAGAGGAAAAACGACTGCTGCTGTTCCTGATCTTGTCAGAACACGTGGAGAAGCTGGATCCACGCCATTCACTGCCACCTGGGGGATCATGGGAACTGGGATCAGTGTCCGGCTTATCTGGGTCTTGCTCTGAGATGGTGCTCAGTCTACAGACCCCACTAGGTGACTTGCCTGGCATCTTTCTGGGTGGATTGTCCATCACTGGTTTTGGGATGCTGTCTTTGAAAGAGAAATGATTTTGGAACAAAATCATAAAAATTCAGTGCTAGTTCTTCACCCAGTCCCAACTGTTAGATAAGTTAGATCCTCTATGAGGCAGTTTTAATAATTCAGAGCACCATTAACATGCAGTATGTCAGGGAGGTGAGACTTGAAGTGTATAATGGAGGAGGCTTGCTCAATAAAACTTCAGCAAGGAGAGATTATTGATTTGAAAGCTTTTATTTGGATCTAGTTTCCTGGATTGAACCGGGCAGGAGGAAAATATACACTGTGTGAAAATATACTCCTCCACTAACATTTGGCATGCAGCACATCTGTCAGTCACATTCTAGTTGTGACTAACAATACCTTCATCCAAGCAATATTTAGCCTGATTAGACATGAAGTAAACAACAACAACCTACCATCAGACACATGGTCCTGTATTTCCTCAAGCTCGAAACCATCCTGATTATTCACAGGAAGCTTTAAAGGAGCTGTCATCTTATGCAGAACAAAGAGGAGAGAATACACACAAAGTGAGGCACACATACAAAGCACTGCTTGAATATTGGTGTCATGATAATTTAAGTAAATTAAACGTATCACAGACAGCAATAACTTAAGTTTGCAACATCCTGTTCTCATGTAAAGTTAAAGAACCATGCAGGAAATGTTGCCCAAACTGAACTTTAAAATGAACAAAACACCCGTTCCTTAATTTATTCTGACAAATAATTAACTCTTGAGATTACCTGTCTGCACTGGTTAAATCTCCAACAGCATCATCTGCAGCATCTGCAACTGTGAACCCCTTGTGAGCTGGAGCACCTCCCATCATTGTGCACACACCCACATTGTGAGCACACTCCACATCGATCAATACTCACCAATCAGGAAGCACATCTACAAATCTGCAATACATAATGCATGGAAGATGCATTCAATTACGACATTATGTCGATAGGAAGTCAAACCGAGCCACTTATCAAACACCTGGACAAGGCAAGTAATGACAGATAATAATAATTCAATAACATTTACATAAAATTACCTCACCGTAATTTATTACCTTGCCGCAAGTAGTACTTCGAAAACCACAATGGTTTGTTGACCAGTTGCTATATCGCATCTGCTGACAGCACATAGGTGAATCTAAATTATAAAATCAGACATACCACAATACCACAGTGGAAACATTGCGAGCCAGAGCATCTTTTTTCTTCCATTATCTTCCATTATGAGATCATTACCGTTCACTGAGAGAAGCGGAGCTGTTATCAGGTCAAAACTGCATCCAGCCATAATTTCATTATGTGAAACACCGCTTGCCACCAAGGCATATCATGAAACTAGAATTACCGCCTCACTGCCGTGTGCCTCCATGAACCAGTCGATTTACAGTTACAGGTTACATTTATGTTTGCGAAGACATGAATGCTTCACACGCAGCTTCCCCCTCGGCGGCATGGAAGATCTATACAATCAGCACAGCTTCAAAATACCTGTCACTAATTCAGTATCTGACCAAATGTCTCCTGTCTTCTGTTCCTGAGTTATGAAGTTGTATAATGACCAGAAAAGTGTTTTATGCAGAACATTATGTCACAGTGAAGCTGACCTTTGACCTTTTGGATATAAAATGTCATCACTTCATCATTTTATCCTATTAGACATATGTGTGAAATTTTGATGTAATTAGCATTTGAGTTCTTGTGTTATGGCCAATATCATGTTTCAGTGACCTTAACCTTTGACCAACAATATCAAATCAGTTCATTCTTAAATTCAGGTGGATGTTTGTGCCAAATTAGAAGAAATTCCCTGAAGCTCCCTTGAGATACATGCATAAGAATGAGATGGACGCAGGGTCACAGTGACCTTGACCTTTAACCAACAAAATCAAATCAGCTCATTCTTAGGTCCAGGTGGACATTTGTGCCAAATTTGAGGAAGTCCCTCAAGGCTTTCTTGAGATATCACATGCACAAGAATGAGATGGACGCAGGGTCACAGTGACCTTGACCTTTGACCAACAAAATCAAATCAGCTCATTCTTAGGTCCAGGTGGACATTTGTGCCAAATTTGAGGAAGTCCCTCAAGGTGTTCTTGAGATATCACATGCACAAGAATGAGATGGATGCAGGGTCACAGTGACCTTAACCTTTGACCACCAAATTCTAAAGCGTTTGTACCAAATCTGAAAAAAATTCCCTCAAGGTGTTCTTAAGACATTGCGTTTACAAGAATGAGACAGACAAGGTCACAGTGACCTTTGGCCTATATCCCTCAGATAGGGTTGCAATGTCATGAAATTTTCACGGTACAATAACTGTCTCAGATAATATCATGGTTTCACAGTATCACAGTATTACAGAAATAATACTCAGACTACAGCTATCGCTGGCGCAGAAGCATAACTAGATGAAAGACACAAACAACATGCACATTTTTCATGAGGGATTTATTATCCATAGAGATGCATTGGTTTACAATAATGGTAAATCTATATCATCTACTATTACAAGCTCAATTAGAGCTGTTTTAGCAATGTTTGTGGAAGGGGTGAAAAAGACCAACAAGTATAAAGAAGCTACGTATTCTTTTCATCAATTGATTATACCTTAAATACAAATATATCAGATCATGTTGGCAGTGAACATTTTCATCTTTAAAGCAACTTCTTTTTTACTTCCTCTACAAATCTTAATATATTATGACTACTAAAATAAAATCAGGTAGTGTGGCCCCAGAGTAGCATAAAGTAGCTATACAGAGGGGGGGAAACATTTCATTGTGAAGTGCTAACTATCAGTGTTCCCTTTCCTTTGGCTTCTCTGCTCATCGTGGTCCTTTTTGTGTACACATGTATAAAATAAAGACAAAAATCATGAACAGACAGATGTGATCTCACTGTACTGTACAGAAAGAATTCAATGCTAGATTAAAAACAAAAACGTAAGAAATGCTGATAAAAATTTCCCCAAGGAGAGTGTTTGGTTACGTAGATGAAGCAGTTGTGGTTTTTTTTTTTTTGGAAACTTTTGGATACAAAGTCACGCGGGCTGTGAGTGAGGTGGCCTTGCAGTGGAGAGTTTGGACCTCATAGTCAGAGAGAAGGCACGCGATCGAAATGAAGATTGGGCCTCTCCGGGCTGCCGTTGTCTTCATCGTGGTTCGTCTCTGGGCTGTGGCCGTGCTCGTCTGTGCTCTCTGGGGACTCGTAGGGGTAACCTTCACATATCTCCTCATCCTCCTGCTCCTCTTTGATGCTGGTTTGATAAACAGAAAATAATGATGTCATTGAAAGTTGTGACCTTATAACCACATTAACTCACAGCAGTCAGTGCACTCAAGAGGTCTGAGGCTGACACTTACAAAGCTTGTGGAGGGGACTGTGTTGTACTGCTGTCACTTTGGTATCCAGATCCATTAGCAAGGGCTCCATTCATCTGCTCTTGGAGAACATGAGGCAGGGAGTGAAATGGGATGCTGCCCATCGAGGCTGGGTTGAAGAGAGAGCTGCTGCCGTCCAGACCACCACTCTGAAAAATGTAACAGGCTCGGCTTTAATATTCATAATACTGCATCAACAATTCTCAGACTACTGCTACCTATAATATGAGGATAAAAGGCAATATGACACCACTTTTCAGCTTTGTTTGTACACTACAGTGGTCTCATGTTTTATACATCATTTTAATTTATAATACACTACAAATAGCTCAAAATCTCAGACGACTCTTACCTGAGAAACTGAACCAGCCGAGCTCTGAGGGTTCTGTGAGTTCTTCAGCAGAGATCTGTTAGTAAAGAGATGCAACATAAAGTTACATTTTATTTAGTAACAATACCCAGAAAAACAGATATCAGCATCATAGAGGGACTGACATTATACTAAGAACTAGAGCTGCACTATGAGTAGGGTGACCAGAAGTCCTGAAAAATTTGAAGCAGTCCCAAAATCCAAGCAGTTGTCCTGAATCCCGAATCCTGCCCTAATTGTCCTGAAAATTACACTAGAGTGGAGTCTGGAGTAGTTATTGCCCGATAAAACATTAAAAACTGATCCCGCCGGCTGCACATTGGCTGCAGCAGTTCCTACATGAATTATGGGTGTTGTAGTTTTTAAATTGTGTACAGCAGTGGCAATGAAGTAGATGAAGAGAGTGCAAGTTGTAGCTGCGAGGACAGGGAAAGCGCAGGCAGCTACGAGAAAGAATGATGTGCACGTTGCAGTGCAGCCTCTTGTTCTAACTGTTGCAAACTATTCTACAAACTGATACGGCTGTAATGAATGTACCAGGCGTCTTTTATTTTGTTAGCTTTTATTTTTTTATTGAGTTTAAAGGACAGGTGCACTTACATTGGTCACTTCCATAAAATAAAACGAGAAATTGGAGAAGAGGAAAAGATTGAAAAAATTGTTAAAATTAAATTAGGGAACTGATCACAGATGTATTGTCTCTCTGTGTTTTTACATCTATTGTTGCTGTAATTTGCAGCTATGCATTTAAAGAAGCTGACATGTCATGACAGTCAAGCACCCCCCCTCCCCTTTGACATGCAGGAAAGGGCAGCAGGCTGGAATTGAACCCATGGCCACTGCCTTCATATATGGGACATAGGGGACACATATATGTGGTGCCCTCAAGTGCAATTTTCTACTGATACTCTACTAACTTGAAAACTACCTGAGTGCAATAGGGCAGTGTTTATTGCACAAATGACATCACAATGATGATTAAAAAAATATATATATGTTGTGTAAAAACAACATTTAATGTATTTGCAATTCACCCTTCCCTGAAAAGTGATTGTCCAATAACAGAATCATAGCTTAGCAACCATAACCAGACATGTTGGGCGTGTCAAGCTTGGGATTTCTTCACATGTTGAAGAACTGTATATCTGGGTCTAATAACTACTCAGTATACATAGTGATACTCAGGATCTGGTGAATTTGGAGGATGCTGGCACTGTTTGGTTTTAGTAAAAGTAAAAGTGTGAGATATGGATTACACAGTGTGTTCATCTTCTCTAAGATAAGCTGCAAACATTACCATGCCCGGCTTACAGTGACGCAACCACAGCCACACAGGTAGGCCTTTTTGTTGTAACCTTAACGATTACACAGAATGAAAATACATGATGCACATATATCTAACTTTTGTCCTGCTTGTGCATGTAAGCTAAGCGGACAAACAGGATTTTTGGCGTATAAAATGAGAATGATCTTACATTTGTACTTATCATAATACAACCACTGTACAAGAACAGTGTTTTCATTTCTACATGGTGTCTATAGATTATCAGACTCTTAAATATGTTGCTTTGTAAGACTTTTTCAACATACTTTTTAAGAAAATTTAAGACACATTTTTGGAAACCACTTTTTTTTATTTAAGCATTGCAGGTACAGTACAGGTCAAAAGTTTGGACACACCTTCTCATTCAATGCGTTTTCTTTATTTTCATGACTATTTACATTGTAGATTCTCACTGAAGGCATCAAAACTATGAATGAACACATGTGGAGTTATGTACTTAACAAAAAAAGGTGAAATAACTGAAAACATGTTTTATATTCTAGTTTCTTCAAAATAGCCACCCTTTGCTCTGATTACTGCTTTGCACACTCTTGGCATTCTCTCCATGAGCTTCAAGAGGTAGTCACCTGAAATGGTTTCCACTTCACAGGTGTGCCTTATCAGGGTTAATTAGTGGAATTTCTTGCTTTATCAATGGGGTTGGGACCATCAGTTGTGTTGTGCAG